TGCTTGCAAGGCAGGCGCTTAGGCCGCTGAGCTAAATCCCCAGCCCTTGGAAACAGGTTTAAAGAAATGCATCTGGTTTTCAAGTTGTTTGTTTTTGGTACTGGGAATTGAACTCGGGACCTTGTGCTTGCCAGGCAGGCACTTGTACTGCTGAACTATATCCTCGGCCTTAGCGCCCTTTAAATGCTGCATCGAAGAAGATAACTTAGGCTTTTGTGATATTTTGTGTTTTATTGTTTCCCAAAAAGTGAACGAAGCTCAATGATGAATCATTTGCAAAGGAGTAGAAATTATGAACTTTCCTATTAACAATTAGTATATTCATAGAGAGTGATTCAGGCTCTGAGATTCCACATTTCTTACACATGCTAGAAGCAACACTTTAACAAAGGTTTGTAGAGCCATTTGGCTGGAATTTTGAAAAACCCATTTGGGAAAATGAAAACCAACATACCCATACAGTAATTCTCTTTTTAGTTGCATTATGGACATATTTAAAAGCAGGAAGTTTGAAATAAATACTGGGCAGCTGAAATACACTGTTTGTTAACAAAGCATAATAGAATGCGAATCTCTAGAAACTAAAACAGTGTTGTCAAACTTTAAAAAATTTTGCTTATATAACTTTGACTTTTGGCACTATAAAATGTATGGGCTTTTATCAACTCACCTAAATAGCCAGTTGCAGGTTTCTGAGTGTCACTCATTTTACTTGCTAATGGCTATAGAATCCTAAAGAACATCCTACACACGTCAGAATCTCTTGATATGCAAATTAAAAGTAATTTTATTGTGCAAGACAGTGAAATAAGTTAGTAGACTGTCTACTACCACAATTATTCGTATGTCAATAAATAATGTGCTTTTCAGGTGGATAAATTCAAAATGTTAATTTCCCTAAGGTAAATATGCATCATTTTATTTTGGTTTACTTGACTTGGAGGAAGATTATGGCTCAGTTTTGAATTTTACTATGCACTGTTTTTACTTAGATGTCCCATCATCACCCCAAATTCCACTTACCCAAGTCTTAACTGAGTGTTTTTCTTCTGAATGACGCTCCTTGCAAATTTTCTCATTTCTGTGAATATCACACTATTATCTATTCTCAAGATAAAATTTGAGTTCTCCAAGGTTTGTCTGTCTTCTTTATCTCTTAAACCTCTTTGTTACCATACCCTGCTGATTCTATCTTTCTGATAGCTATAGGATCCAAAAAACTCACACAGCTTTCTTCAGTTCATGTCTTCATCATAGCTACTTATTTAGTTAGTCTAAAGACTGTACTGGATATCTGCCATGTGCCTTTTCCTATATCAGAGACTGTGGATATTATGGTGAGCAACAAAAGATGAGGTACTTGATCATACAATTTAGTGAGGAAAGAGACATTAATAAGTGCATACACACGTGTAAAATTGCAGCTCTTATAAGTACTATGAAGAAGAGGTACAAGGTGTCATAATAATCCTGAATAGATTAGTCTGAGCTAGCTATGGAGAAGGTAGGCCTCCCTGAGCAACTAACACATGAGCTGGGATCTGAAGAATGAATAGAAATCAATCAAATGAGGAGAGAGGGGGAAAACATTCTAAGTAGTGGCAACAGAACATGCAATATCTTTGAGGTAGAAGTAGAATAATAAATACAGGAAGGCTAAAAAGAGGCTGTAGGCTGAGAAGAGTGGTATTTAACAAAAACTGACATTGGAAAAAAAGGTAAGTAGGGGTAAAGCATGCATAGCTTTATAGACTCTATTAAAATGCTTTCTTTTTATTCTATGAACAATGAAAAATCACTAGAGGTACCTCTCTCTCTCTCTCTCTCTCTCTCTCTCTCTCTCTCTCTCTGTCTCTGATGATCAGATTTGCTTTTTTTTTTTTTTTTGGTACTGAGGCTCGAACTCACAACCTCCTGCTTGCTAGGTGAGAGCTTACACCACTGAGCTAAATCCCCAGCACTCAGATTTGTATTTTGAAAAGATCATTCTGGTTGTATAATGAAATAGATTGGGGAGAGCCAAGAATAGTGGCAGACAGTTTGATTGGGACGCTACTACAATAGTCTGGGTGAAAGATGAATGTAGCTTGGTCAGAAGAGGTAATTGACGGAGATGGAGAGAAATTGATAGACTCAAGAGATGTATAGACTTAATTTCCATCAGACAAAATTATGGGTTAGGTACGGAAGATGAGTGAAAGAACAGAGGAGACAGATAGGCTCTCCCCAGTTTGGCTTGTGTAATTGTATTGTGGCAGAATTTAGTGAAATAATATCAAAAGAAGACTCAGCTTGGAGAGAATATATCAAGTTCAAGCTGGGGCACATTGATTTTGAGATATTGATGGGTTATTCATGAAATGATTTCAAGTAAGTAATTGGTTATAAAAATGTGGAACTCAAAATAGAGACCTGGTCTAGAGATAGAACTTTGAGATTCATTTGTGCATAGGTGTAAATTCATGAAACTCTAGTTGTGCAGAAACTATAGAGCAAGAAGAGAACAGGAGGCTGGGTCAAAGCTTCAGGCCAGTACAATATAGTCTGCAAAAGACAGAGAAGGAGTGGCCAGAGAAGTGGAGACAGTAAGTTTAGAAAAACTTTCTTGAAAGAATTTGGTTGTTGGGAAGAAAGAGATGGAAGGGCATTTAGGGGGATATGGAGTTTTGATTTTTTATCTTGAGAGACTGGAATATGTTTTAAATCAGGAGGAAAAAGCTCATTAGGGAAAGGAGTTGATAATTGATGGTATAAGGTTTCTCAAAGGGCAGGAGGTGATGGGATCTAAAGCACAGTTGAGTCTCTAGCTGATGATTTCAATTACTTTTTTCTTTTGAAGTAGGCGGGATGATTATCTGATAAACATGTGGGGGTAGAGTTTGAGGGTTTGGAAGGTGTGGAAGAATTATTGCAGAGTAGGTGTACAAATTGGCCAAAGAAAAGTAGTGGGATGGCTGGGTAGAGATAAAAGCTTAGCTGAGGTTAGTGGTAATGAATTTATGAAAACATTAATTTATCCTCTTGTGTGACTGGTCAGCAACGCTTGATTGTTCAAGCACAGATATGGAGGAGATGGAGAGTAGGGCTGACCCAGAGCTGATAGGAGAAGATCAGCAAAGGAAGATACTACTAGCATTCAAAAGTCTGTTTGTCTTTGGTTTCTTCCCATCTCTGTGCATCCTGTACACTGCCATGCAATTCCTTTTCCCCAAGGACTGTTTTTTTTTTTTTTTTTTGTCTTTTTCCTTTTTTATCGGTACCAGGGATCGAACTCACGACTGCCTGCTTGCAAGGCAGGTGCTTATGCCAAGGACTGTTTTTTTATCCACTCATTCTTCTTGCTCAAAAATCTGCAGTCTTTCAAATGATGTAGCTGTTTAGAGTACAGATGATAATCCTTGATATCAGTTCCAGCTATGAACTTGAGCAATTCATGTGACATTTCTGAGACTCCATTTCTGTGACTCTAAAATGGGGATAATTGTAAACTTTACTACACAAACTTAGGTGGATTGTGGTAAATTTGCTCAACACATAAAAGCAGCTGTATTACATTCTCTTAGCTGTGGCCCAGCTTCTCCTTCAGATCCATTCCTGATCTGCTCTTCTTTCTTGTCGTTATTCAACACACTCCCTCCCACCTCAGCTAGAGTGATCTTTGATGACCTCCACGTTCACGGCCATGTGTCCCTTGCCTTCTCTACTAGAATTCCATCCTTTCTCAAAGGTGCGCATCTTCTAAGAGAAAGCTCCCCACTAGGCTGAAGCATTGGGAGCCTGATTGTATTCTATTGTTCATTTATTGTAAACTTTATCATTACTTTGTAATTTTGTTTTTAAGTATTATTTTATCTTCTGTTTAAAAATATTTCAGCAACATAAATATTTCCCAATAAGAGTATGTGTTCTTTGAGGAAAACAATCATGCCCTAAATCTATGAATTTCTCATAGGTCTGAGAACTCTATTCATGATACTTGTTAAGTTTAGTTGGCTCAAATGGGAGGATAAGGTAGGCTCCACTGGCCTTCAAAGCAGGATGCACACAGTCCTATGGAGTGCACAGACAACCTGTCAAAGTAAGCAAGAAAATATTACAGGCTTTACTGATATTTATTTTATCACATCTTTTCAATATTTCCATTTTTGTGTATGTTTATATGTAAATAACACAAATGTATAATGTACATGTGCATGTTATTGATAATAGTGTATTTACCAATATACCTCATGGGCTATGACAGAGAGAAAAAGAATGCATGTTGAGGCAATTTTAATCTTGAAGTTCCAGATAAGAACATTTTCAGTCTATATTGTTCAAAAGAATGATAGAAACTTGACAAATTCAATGTCTACCATTTTCTGGGCACTTAAGTAGTGCCAGGCATTACACTGAATGCCATATGACATTTAAGTCTCATGGAAATTTTTAAGGTAAGTGTTATTATAACCTTTACATTTTAAAGGAGGATATTGAAGCACAGAGAGGTTAAGTGACTGTATGGGTTATATGATAAGTAAGTGATGTAACCAAGATTAAAAACTACATCTGTTTCAATTCCAAGTTAATCTTTTATGAAAGATTTAAACTATGCAAGTCAATGTTATTCATAGGTATAGAACTAATCAAGTTATTTCTTCTTAAGTAGTTTTGATAGCTATGTCTTTTAAGGACTTGGTCCCTTTCCTAAAGCTAATTCCCTTAATTAATACACTAGTCTGGTATGTGTCTCACTTTTGGGAATGCTTGTATCTTGGACAAAGTTACTATGGAATAGCTTCCCTCCAACTAGTTATGTAACCAGAGTATAATGAAAAGTATACAGAGATTTTACAAAGTAGAACATCCTCTGAAAGAAATTAAGTAATCAAACAACTTGATTTTATATCTGTGATATTTATCTCTTAAAAATGAAAAGAAATCATACAGTTATTTCTTAAATAATTGTCTCTGATTTCTAACACTGAGTCCAGATTAACACACACTTTCTGATTTTTCAGTTGTTTCAGAAAATATGACAATTCAAGAAATAAGTACAACTCTGTCACAACAAATAGAGTTAACAACTCCTTCCCAAGTTACTGGACTAAAACCACAAAAGACCATATATTACTCTTCTGTGATGTCTGAAAGCATGCCTGTGTTTGCGACAGATTATGCAACCATGTTATATTCCAATACAACACTGCCACCTTCGGAAACAATTACATCAAAAATCTTAAGAACATCTATAGCCAAAACAGCTACTTCTACAGCAGATATTTCATCTAGTTCTGCAGCCATGACTCTGCCTACCCAGAGTACATCCATATGCAATGCCACTGATTCCATGAAAATAACTAAATTTACGTCTTCAGAAATCATGAGGACAACAAAAATAGTGGAAGCCATGGCCACTAAGACCTTTCATCCAACTACAGCTTCTAATTTCCTTTCTGCATCTGGATTTACTAAGAATTTAATTGCACCTCAGACTTCAGCAACTGAATCTCAGTCAGTCATTATGAAAACAGCATCTTCATTTTCAACTAGTGAGTCAACATCCATGTCTACAACATCTTGGCCCAAACGCACATCTACTGATATTAAAATACCTCCTAGCTCCACTTCTGGACAAGAATTTCTTGAGTCTATAGCTGCTGTGACTGTACCTTGGTCCACAGTAGGAGGGAATTCAGGTAAAAGTACTGGCATTAGGACTACAACAGCATTTACATCCAAGTCTTCGCTTAGCTCCACAGCTGCTTCTATAGATTCTGTATTTCCTAGAAATCAGACAGTAGCTACACTGGCAACAACTGATATGAAAATACCATTTACAGCTCATTCAGTGGTGCCTACTGAGACCATGCCTGCCCTAATTACAGCAGAAACAGAATTGCCATCTACAAACTTCCAGAATGTCTCTTCACCCCATGTGGAGGATGCCATATCTACCTTCATGCCACAAGAGACCTCTTCTATGGCCCTTTCTCCCGTGACATCCTTTCCAGTTACTGGAACGCAGAGGGTTCAGACAGGTACCAATGCTGAGAGTTCACATGCAACCTTAACTCTTGGAATCACACATGCACCGCCAGTGACTGAAACTACATCCTCCCCCGAAATCACAGAGCCAGTGAATACCCAGAATACACCCACAGCTGGTGACCGCATGTTCACTTTGATTTCGGCTATATCAGCTTCCACACCCAAGGCATTTGAATCAGGCCCCACATCTTTAACCGATGAAACAACCCATTGGTTCTCTTCCAAGGAAACCACTTGGACTTCCAGGCCGAGCCGGACTCTGCTGACATCTACTAATACAACCACCATACTTACATTTGCAGCTAATAAAAATGACACATCAGCATTCTATGGGAGTACTATTAACACAGAAAATTCATCCACAACTACTAATGTTATCACCCCACCAGAATCATCTATGGAAAGCAAGGCTATCACTAGTGCTGATGCTACTGGAGTCAGATATACAACAACTCTATCCAAACTGGTGTCTCCGTGGCTTGCTAATTTTTCCACCACTTCTGGAACTGTATCTGTAACCGATCTTCCTGAATTTAAACTCACCACCTTACTAAAAACCATCCCTATACCCACAGTAGCTGCAAATGAACTTCCTTCAACAGGGGAGACTGTTGTCTCACCAGTGGATATAGCATCTACCCTTGCTGACATTAAACTGAATTTTTCTACCGAGGAGAGCTCTTCTGAGATTATACACACAGAAACGGATGGTACAAGTGCATTTGGCGATACAACAGCCCTTGTACCAAAATCTGCAACAACACAAAAATCCGATGATACTATGACAACTAAAGAAATGACTTCCCATCATCTTAAAGGAAAATCAACTATAGAAGCAGTATCTGAGGTTTCTTTGTTTTCAACAGTGCTGGAAGTGACAGATGAATCAGCACAAACAGTGACAGCTTCTGTCACTGTTTCCCCTTTCCTTGGTGGAGAAAAATTGACTACCTCCTTGGATAATAAAACTGCTACTTCTGAGCTGGAAGGGAGTTCATACAATGGAATCACAGAATTCTTTAATTGGACCCACACCTATACAGCACACTGGACTCCAGTGACCCCCAAGGGGCATTTGACTCTATTTCCCACTCCTGAGAGTACCCAGATGTTCCCTGAACTCCTGCACAGTTCCACCACAAGGATAACAGGAACCCCGACAGACAGGACAGCTATGTCCTTGTCTTCTAGTATCTTACCACCAAAGGCTGCAGGTACTCATCCATCAGCAACTCATATACCTATTACTCACACATTCTCACTGCCAGTTACTTTCTCTCCTGTCACCTCCATGGTGATGTCTGGTGAGACTAAGATGACTATGCCTATAACTTCTAAAGCAGCCATGGATTTTCCCACATCTCTACCCTCAGATGTCTCAAATCTGTCATCAGCTACAATGTCATCAGCAATGGTGCCACCATTGAGTCAAACAACTTCTATGACCAATGATATCATGCCTACACAGACAGATTCAATTCATACCACTTCAGAGGCCATAGTGATTTCTACCACAATGACACCCATGGAAGTTCCCTCTCAGACAGAAACTCTAGTCCCCTTGCCGAGATCCCCTCTTCCTATTACAACTAAGACTAAGGCCACACTTCCCTCCACCTCAGGCAATGCAGTAACTCCGTCTACACACACTCTTGTTTGCTCAAAACCTGCTGCTGACAATACTCCTATTGTGCCTTCTCATTTGATCTCAACTGTGTCTACACCAGTAGCAACTCAGTCTGTGTCACAAGTGGAAGAAATATCTACCTCTGCTCTTAACTTTCCATTTACTTTCAGTGGCAATGGCGATGTTGCTAGCTTGGCTACTGGCCCCACAGAGACTCCTACTGTCACTGAGACAATACCTCCGCACACCTCTGCCAACAAACTTACTGCCTCAGTAGACGTCCGTGTTTCTCGCCCTTCCACACATTTTGTAAACATGCCAGCCTCCACCCAATCGGTGACTGGCATCTCTATCTTACCTTCTGACAAAGATCAGATAATCATCTCTATGGGGAAAACCTCTAGAACTATGGAGGTGACAGAAATGTCTCCATCAAAGTATTCATTTATTTCCAATTCCCAGAGTACTTCATCCTTGGAAATGACTGATACAGGATTTTCTGAGACCAGAAAAATGTCCAGCCACCAAACATATTTACCTTCAGAGATTCCACTTGAAACTTCAGCTGACAGGAATTCAACTTTATCTACCACTTCCAAAAGCATCTGGACTACACCACCCTTGACTTCAAATAGCACAGTAGATGTTTACTTTTCAGAAATGTCTAACAGCCTTGGGAAAACAACTCTGCTGTCACGACCTTTAACAAAACCCACCCTTTTGTTTCCTGAAAAAGTAAGCACAAATGCCCTTTCAATTTATACCCCTGGGACTGTGGAAATGGTAGTAAATTCCTCCTCTGTGACTCACCAGGATGCTTCTTTTGTAGATACCACAATTTCCAGTACAACCAGGATATCAAATCCTGAGCTCATCAACATAACTCTTCCCCAGTTCTCTTCACTTAACACTCAACCTGAGGTGACTTCAGTTACCTTTTCCATTTCAGAAAACACACAGACTTTCCCCAAATCCTTGTCCCCTTCCACAACTGCACTGTCCAATTCTGATTTTACAGTTACCTCTACTAATGGGATCAGTACAACCCTTTCTGTACCAAATGTACCTATACTTCTTGAGGAAACCTCGATGGCAATGTCAATTCCTACTTCCCAGATGTCCTCATTGCCAATTGATGTCACGGCTTTCACCTCCAAAAAAGTTTCTGACCCTTTCACAATAATAATGATTAAATCTTCCAAAACAACTTACCCAGCTTGTTTGAAAAGTCCTTCGATAGCCACTTCTAGACCTGTGTCTGAGACAACTGCGCTTCCAGTTGATGACTCTACCTTGTCCTCTGCAACGGTTTCTTCTGACACTTCCACAACACTTGAGTCACTTTCTACTTCATTGTCTCCAACTACTCCTAGGACTACTGTGACCACACAAGCATCTTCGTTGAAAGTCACACCTGTGACATATCCCGGGATGACCTCAAAAAGCACGGCAGTTTCTTCTGCTTTCACTACTTCAGAAATGACAGAAGTGTCCTCCAAGATCACTCCTACTTCTATTTCCTCTCCAACAGAGGCAACTTTTGTTTCTATGATACCTGTGCCAACCACTAATATGGCTGGGGCAGTGACTTCAGTTGTAGACACCACTGCCTCTTCACTACTCAGTTCTAAGAACACTGAAACGCTGCTTTCATCTACTTCAGATAATCATCATACTTCCTTAAATATTCAGGTTTCCCCATCTTGGACTAACTTCAGGAGCATGCCTGGACCCACAGAAAGTATAAAAGCTACCACTACTTACCTTTCCTCTAATACAGGAAAGATGATTTATTTATTAGAAAATACTTCTTTAACAACTACATTCAGAAGTGCCACATCTGATGATCTTGTTTTATACCCTTCATGGACCCCATCCAGTGAAACTACACCCTCTTTGACATCACTTCTTTATTCATCTAGCGGTAGTGAAGCTGAGTTTTCTACTCCAAAGAGCTCTCCTACATCCCAAGTGGTTGGATTTCCAGTTGTGGGAACAAGAATCACATCGAGTAACACCCAGTCTTTGCTTATGACTTCTTGGAACACACACAGAGCTGAAGACTCTCAGTTTCCTCTTTCCACCCCTGCTCATAACCCTACACTCAACAAGATGGAAACAGAGACTATACAGCTTGTTCCTGGGTCTTTGTCAATGCTTGCAGCCTCTGGGACTAGTCTAGTCTCTACAGATGCTTTGGCAGCATCACTAAGCTCCACATCAGGAATTTTGCCTACCTTGGGGATTTCTGAGAGCCCTTCATTATCAACATCCTTAAGGGCTCTTCCTACTAGTTGGCATGATATTAAGCACACATTTGACAAAACAACCACATTTATAACTCCTGGGAGTACAGTCCCACCAAGTCCTTCTTTAATCTCCAAGACCACTACTTCACCCATACTAACTTGGATTTTATCTAGTCTTCCACCAGGTTCCTCCCAGATGACAGTGTCTAAAGTTCCTCATGCTGTAGCGTCCTCTATGGTAGAGGCATCAAAATCAACACTTCCTGCTTCTGACATGGCCACATATACATTCACTAACTTTACAAAACTACCATTTGCTACTGGAAGAACTGTACTCACCAAAATTACTTCTATACCTACACTGGGAAGTACCACTAGTGGCTCACCAACTTCTCTGCCTATGTCTACCAGAGTCACAGATATCAGAATGCACAGTCTCACATCCCCTGAGACAACCTCCAGAACTATTATGACTGACAACTCCAGGACGGCTTTTAAACCTCCATCCTTCAGTGGAATGAGTGTATCACCTTCTATAACTAATCGCACTGTATCTTTTGGTTCCATGCCACTACCTAGTGCTACAAAAATATCTGCATGGAGCAAAACCCCAGCCACATCATCACCCACTTCTTTAATTCTTCCCAAGTCCATACTGGACTCCCTTATAAATGTAACTACTGCTACATCTACCCCTACTGGAACCTCATCTTCATTCATGTCTACTGGAGTGGCACATTCTTCTACAGATGTTGTATCTTCATTAATCTCTTTGTCTTTTGAGACAACCTGGCTGGACTCCGCATTTTCCTTTCTAACTACAGAAGCAATGACTTCACCAATTGCTAGTGAGTCCATAGGTACTGTTCCTTTATGCATATGAACAATGGGCCATGTTTTTGCTAAGGGTCAGCTATCTGAAGGCGGAGAAGAATAAAGAAAGGTGTAGGTGTTTCTCATCTCCTTGGGACAGTAGGTTGAATGAGTTCCTTATCCAAACTCAGAATTTCATAACTATGTTTTCTATGTATATTGAAACATAATCCAAATGTGTGCTTTCACTCCATATGAAATTTCTAAACCTCTTCCCACTAGGCTTTTTGTCAATGCCCTGACTCTGCCTCTGCCTATGTGAACACAGGTCAGGAACATCATTTATACCTAGTAAGAGAATCATATGGCATTAGATCTGAACATGCTTATTATATATGAGAAAATGTCAGAAGATATCTTTTCCTAACTTTTTTGCTGTACTGGGAGGTTGAACTTAGCACTTTTATACTCAACTACATCCCTAGCCTCTTTAAATATTTTTATTCAAGACAGGATCTCACTAAGTCAGGCAGGACTTTAATTTGTGATGCCCCTGCCTCAGCCTGTCAGAGTACTGGGATTATAGAATTGTACCACTGTATTCAACTCTGCCATTTGAATCCCTCTTATGTAGGTCTCAGGCTTTTCCACTTTGTACATCCACCCGGCTGGGAATACTTATCTGTTCAGGGAGTACTTGGCTTCCATATTGTTCAAAGTTTGAATGTTCCTGCAACTTTTAATATTCCAAAATGAAAATATTGTAGGATACAGCAGAGTGAGAGGGGCACAAGGAATGAAAACCCTCAAGCTGAAAGGAAGGCACAGTAAGAAAACAAAAACCTAGTTATTTTCTCAGGACAAATGATCTTGTGAGATAAATGCTCAGCTTGGCCATTGAATGGACAGGAAACCGGGCGGCCAATGAAAGTAGATAATTTGAGTGATTAGTATGTCCATCAACTGTGCAAAAGCCAGGAAAATGCCTAAGTAATTATAACAAAAACGGGATGGTAGCGTTTTCTTTTACTTTTGGAGTTGAGCCAAAAGTGCTGGTTTTTAAACGGTGCCGAACAAACTTTAGGAATGAGAAATCGTTTTACTTGCTTTAAAGCAGAGAGCAGTTTTGATCAAGTTTACAAAAGTTAAATTTCTTGAACTAACTAAAATTAATCTCCATATTTTTAATTACAGTTTCCTTCTACAATATCGAAATGACATTGTCTGTCTTTGATGAAGAGTCAAGGGTCCTTATTACCAGTATTATTCATGAATTTGCAAAAGATTGGGTAAAATACTATTTTGATTATTTATGGTATATGTAAATATAAGTGACAATGAGTAGATTAAAATTAGACTTTACTTTTTTCTAGTGATAATCCATTTCACAGATAACTAATTTGTTTTTCACTGAAAATCTACCTACACTGTAGGCAACACTGCAAGGATCTATGCAATCTCTCCATCACAGCACCAACGCTGAAAGCTTTTTATGAAATGTCATTCTCATTTGTTTAGATCTGTACATTTCCTTATGTTGACACAAATTCTGAAATCTTTGCTCAATATTCCTAATTGGGGAAATTCTTTGCCATGTCTATTTAATTATCTTTGCTTTCTGCTTTTTAACTTTTCTCTCTTTCCAATAAAATGAATGTTTTATATATTCTTACATTTCTTTCTGATAATAAGACTATAAGCACTTCAGAAAACCTCAGACATTGTCATCTAAAATAATATCTTTTTGTGGTGCTAAGGATTGAACCCAAGTCTTTGTGCATGTTAGGCAGGTGCTTTATCCCTGAACTACATCTTCAGCTCCTGGACATGAATTTTTAACATAGAGGTGAATATAGACCACTCCTCATACATTTTAGCAAACACATAGGGTTTCACTATATGGTTGTAACATAATGTTCTGAGTTTTTTCAAGCCCAGTCATCCACTGGTAGACATTTGGTCTCCTTCTATTTTTTCTCTATTTTAAACAATTCTGAAAACAGTGCACTTATAATACATTTAGGGGCATTTGAGTATTTTGATAGGATAAATTCCTAGAATTTGAATTTCTGGATCAGAAGTTATAAATGAACCTCTGAATAGGATGCTAGGCGAAAGAATATAGACTTAAAAATCATATACTTTGATATTGTTAATTGAATATGTCCTAAATAAACAGATCCACACAATGGAGAGCAGGTCAGTGGTTATTAGGGAATAGAAGTGGAGAGGGGAGTGATTACTTAATGGGCATGAGAATTTTTATGGGATATGCAAAAGCCTGAAACTAGAGAGAAGTAGTTGGTACACAACAATGAAATATATTAAATGTCACTGTACTATAGATTTCAAAATTAATTTTATATTATGTGAATTTTACCTCAATTAAAGAAAGAGAACAGAAAAATAGTGTTATCACTAAATGATCTCCCAGGTAGAATTACCAATTTGTACCTTGCATCTAACCACTAGTGAATGATCATATTGCTTTCCTCTCTCCCCATCAGCACTTACTTTCAAGTATATGGAACATGATTATGAATGCTTGAAAATGCATGAGCATATCAGTCTGCTCAGGCTGTCTTACAAAGATATCACAGACTGAGTGAATGAATCAATAGGCATATATTTTCCTACAATTATGGGAGGTAGAAATCCAGGATAAAAATGCTGGCAGGGTTGGATTTCTGCTGAGATCTCTGTCCTTGGCTTGCATATGGCCACCTTTTCACTGTGTCCTCACATGGTATTTCTCTTTGCAAATGCATGTCTGGTCTTTTCTTCTCTCATAGTAACACCAGTTATACTGAATTATGGCCCTCCCTTTTGTGGCCTCATTTAATCTTAATTACACCTCTAATGACCCTATCATGCAATAGAATCAGATTTTATGTTAGAGCTTCAACGTTTGAATTTTGGGGGGGGGATAGTTCAGCCTATACAATGGGAAAAGTGTAAGTTGAAAAACTGAGGGGAACAAATAGAAATTTTAAGCTGCTGAAATAATGAATGCTGCTTAATGACCATCTTGTTCCAGGTGACTTTGTTCAATTAAATTACAAGATCAGGAATATGAAAACTGATTCTATTTTTTGTTATTGCTTTTTACAGTTGAGTTTTATATTTGAAGACAGTGAATTTTGTCTTGCTAATCTAGCTGTCCAAATTAAAGGCAGGTATGTGGATGATATCTTTTGCAGCTTGAAGGGTAATTTGAAGGTCTTCCAGGTCCCTTCCTATCCAGAGGAGATTTCTTTTCTTTATGCTTGGGATTTAGGGACCACCACACTTGTAACTGCAGCTCCCCTTCTGAGTATGAGTTCACATTGCAATGAGGAAGAGATTTGTCTTACTCCTCCAGGGCACAAAGCTGGGGGCGGGGGGATGAAAAACTAAGTCCAGGAAGCAGTGCAATTAGATTGAGTTATCTCTGTTGCTCTCTTAATATCTAAAGTTTTATGATTCTGAGACTTTAAAAGAAAATAATGCCCTAGCTGGGTGTGGTGAGCTGGGTGTGGTGGCATGTGCCTATTATGCCACCACCCTGGGAGGCTGAGCCAGGAGAATCAATCAAGAGTTCTAGCCCAGCCTGGGCAACCTTGCAACTTAGCGAGATCCTGTCTCAGTATTTTAAAAAGGAATAAAGGGATGGGAATGTGACTCAGGCTCTGGGTTTAATCCCCAGTAGTGCAGAGGGCTTGGAGGAGGGTTTATCATGCTTTAAAGGGAAGAAATGCTATAGATGGCCATGCAAGTGGATCTATAGAACCTTTGATTCCTGAATTATGCACTTTTGGGGATTGGAAATTTCAAAGGGAACTTGAAATGTTTAATGTAAGGAATCTACCCCTTCAAGTACTCTTGTAAAAGGCTAGGGATGTGGCTTGGTGGTAGGCCATTGGCTAGCTTGCATGAGGCCCTGGGTTCAACCTCTAGGTCCATGAAACAACAAATTAAAAGATCTCCTGTGATATTTTATATATTCATCTAGATTTTTTCCTGCATGTACTAAGAGAATGGGCTCCTTTCTACTCTATATATTGTTTAACAACTTTATGCTCTTAATAATAATTTATATGGTTTTTAGGTCAATACATATAAATCCAGCTTGCTAATTTTAATTGTGTAAGACTCATTTTTAAGGCTATGATATGACACATGCATTCAATTATCTAGTAATAGACAGTCAAGCAATTTTTACTCTTGCATACATATTTTCATGAAACCTTGCTCTTGTTATGAGACAGATTCTTGGAAATAGAATTGCTGAGTCAAAGCTTTACCACTGTTTTGGTATCCAAATAATGACTGAGCTGATTTCAAGGGTCCAGTTGGAGCAGTATTTGAATTTCAAACTAGAGGAGTTCTACTAATTTGCCTCAGTTTTTTTTTTTTTTTGATCTTGTGTCTTGTATATTTGGTACTGCATTTCATTTTTCCATGATTTTCTGATGCTTTCGACACAGAGGCACTTCTGAGGAAGAAATGGCCTTGTACTGGAGTATTGTAAGTAATTTGTCAAAATTAATCTACTTGCAACCCATCCTACACCTGATGAGATATAATGTAAATAGCTCTTTTATCTGAGTGTATACGATTTTGTCAGACAAGGTTCAAAAGTGACAACCGAGGGTCAAATTACATTACTTCCCTTGGGATTGCCATAAGAACCCATCTTGAATACCGTGCCATGCTTTTTTGAAATATCCATGTGGCAAGTTTTTGAGGCACATTTTGTGGGCTACAGATGTATACAGAATGTCTTGGGTATTGTAAATGGTGAGTGGAATTTCTTGCAATAAGCCTGACATTCCAAGAGTGACACAATTGTTTGTAAGACCGGCATTCACATAATAAATCTAAACTCACTCTCTATTTGTATATGTTTTAAGTAAGAGTGAGACAAAACTATCTCTCATCTTCCTTCCCCCAGATCTTAGTATTTATTCCAATGCCTCGTAACTTGCACACTAAAATGATTAGCAAGCACACAGCTTTTAAGGTATTTAAATAGGAGATAAATATTTTGACTATACAAAATATAATCAAGCCTGCATGCATTTCCAATTATCTGCCATCATTTAAAGTATTTCCTGTAAACAGTTGTCAGAACTTTTAAATTTAACATATTTTAGTTACCACTTCTCTAAAATCATAGATGCAAAACCTTCTTTGGTGATAATCTGGTCAAATAGCCCTGCTCCCCCATTTCCTGTGAGACCTGGTATAATTCAATCATTTGTAAAATGAGTACTTTTGGGGGATAAAATGCGATAGTTTAAGTACTTAGCACAGAGTTCAGAACCATTAAATATTTAATTTTTATTACTGCCACCACCATATTACTATCCATAGGCAAAATCCTTAGATTCCGCTCCCAGTTCTGTAATTCATCAGCTATATCATGTTGGTGAGATTATTTAATACCTTGAGACTCAGCTGGACAATGGGGTGACAATTGATGTATGGCCCTTCCTTACAGAGTTAGAGACCCTGCTAAATGCATTGCTGTTTTTGAAGGTGGCTTGCAGATGGCCACGGGTTACATAAATGAAAAGTATAATTATGGTTGTTGTTGTTTACAAAAAGTGCTGCACTCAATTTTCACATTTGTTTAAAGATTTCACTGACTGTATACTTTTCTTTTGCATCAGTTGGAACAGAGAGAAGGGCAAGCAATGGCTACAATTTCCCATGTACCATACAGGTAGGAGCTGAGTTTATTCACAGCGGGTACATTTAGTTCTGATTTTCTTTCCATTTAATTCAGTATGGGAAGCCTGTTGGTCAGAGTTGTTAGAAGGAGATCAAAGCACCTGATGGTTATTTCACAGATGCTGTAATTAGGCTCTTGCCTTCATGAAGTAAGTTGTTTCAATTGGTCACAACGCAGCCTGGCAGCCTGCCTGTTGCCTCTTTGTAGTGAAAAGTATATGGTATCCAAAGTGGTTATAATTTAGGGATGGGGAATAAAGCGTTTGTTGTAATCAATAAAGTCCATGAAATACTGAGCAGGGAAATCGTAAGCAACAACAACAACATGGAAACCATCCCCTATCCTGTTCAGGATTGTTGTCCAGCTTTCTCTTGAAAACTGATTATTGTTGACCTGCTGGATGCACACAGTCAAGGACTTAACAGAATAACAAAAGAAGGCTCATGAATGTATCACTGAAATGTTCAGGGTTCAGGAATAAAGGTTCTTTTGTAAGCAAAAGGAGAAGTTTAAAAAGAGGGGTTCTCTTTAGATTGGAACTTTAAAAGCTGAGCAGAGATAGGTCCCAAATGGAATGGGTAGTAATGGGTAAGAATGATCAGCAGAGAGAACAGAGGAACAACTCAAGTGTGTTGTTCAAAGAGCTCCATGTACAAATGGAAATGGAAAGAAAAGATACAGGTAATTTTGTGAATCTGGAAGCTTCTCCCTAATGACTATTAGAGGAATTTAGAATGTTAAGGACTTCACTATAGAGGCTAAGGTCAAGGATGGCTCTCTTCTTTTATAACATAGCTTTTAGTGATAGAAATATTGGTTGGGTCACTGTGCTTAAGGGAAATACCATCTTCCCAAAGCTCAGTTTTCTCTTTTGTAGCATGAGAGTAAGAACACTAATGAATCAAAATATGTGGAGCAAGAGCCCCACGAATGTTAGCCATCATCATCATCAGTATTCTATTATAGAAATAAGCCTTCTGCAGAACACATCTTTGTAGACTAACTGAACATGTGCCTATTTCCGTTATTGCAGTGAAGATGAAGAAATTGGAGACTAGAGGATAAAAAAATTTTCTCTGAAATTGTAAATCCTGAGTACTCCAGCTTCTCTATTAATTATACAGACTCTCAGAGAAGCTTCATGGCTAGTCAGTTCAACATAACACAAATGCTGCTAGCAGACTATTCTTTTGAAAATAGGTTTCAAGTTGTCCAATTGGACACAAGAAAATTCATCAGAAGATCTAAATACGCTTTTGTCATTGCTTCTTAATAGCATAACATTTTTGACATTTATGGACTACCAGTTAAGGCAGCTTTACAAGATTTAAGAACTGTAGGCTGAGTTGCATTCTGTTGATATAATTGCAGCATTTTTTGCCCTATTTCTTTTAGCTGTGCTTGTCAGGCCATAATAAAGGCCACCTCCTCTTTGGAACCCATGGAATTGATCAACAAGATCAGAAATAAAATATATGGAAACCTCACACATGGAAACTTCATACAAGATGACTTGATATTATTGGTAAAGTCTGACCACATTGTAATGAAAAAGCTAGGTAATTATTCTGGTGGGGTATTTCAGTATAAATTCACTTCTATTATTGTAAACTAACAATGCATTCATAATAAGGAATTGTAAGTTCAGAGGGAAGAGGGATCATCTTTATGATCCTTTCCACATCCACAGTTACAACTCTGTTGAGACCCTTTTTACTTTCAAGGGCTCATAAAAGAACAGGATCTGAGAGTTTACAAGAGACTTGGCTAGCTGTGGGTATTACCTGTTAGCAGGGGCAAGTTCATCCACAGACTTGGAGGATTGTTTCTCTTGCATAGATACCCAAAAAGCTGGAAAGCTTCCTTATTACACAAAATAAATCCTAATTTATTAATTGATTCAGCCATCCTGTATGTATTAGCAAGTAATCTAGAACTATTCCAGATTTCACTCATGGACATTTTCTCTTCTAATTAGAAGGGTTTTAATGGTAAAAGAGAAAGTAGGCTACCAAGCCATTGTACCTCTTTGTCATTGCTGCAGCTTTGGTAAGTATCAGAGGGCAGGCTGAGGTTGCACTACGATGAGAGTGCAGTGAAGGGAGACAATTGTGGGAGCTACAGGCAGAGCCCATCATGTAAATGATGCCAATGAATGTGTTCTGAGTGTGAGAGGAAGGGACCTCTCATTCTTGCCCGCAAGAAGACTGGGCTGGCTACTTCTTGAGCCTCTCTGTCAACACCTCAAGGTAGAATTTTCAGGATCAGGTTCACATATTCACTGGGTGTCCAGTTAAATTGGGAATTTGTCACATAGATTTAGCCAGTGTGCATCTCCTGCAATGTGACAATGCCTCACAACCAACCTTGGTCTAGCAAGCTCCTACGGAGGAGTCAGTCCAGTTCTTAACACCAACATCAGAAATGGATTTTCCCTATGTTGGTCATGGCAGACGCATGGAATTTACTAATGTCAAAGTCATCCCAGAGTCCATTAAGCAGGAGGTGATCATCCAGAAAGAGAAGTGGGCCTAGAATCTCCTCTATTTGCACATCAAACTGATAACAATGAGTACTTTGAAAGAAGGACAATTGGCAGGTTCTAATGCTGTACTCTAACACCGTTTTGGGTGGCTGGAATTTCCCCTCAAACAATACATACCATTAAAACAGAGCCAAAACAACTCTCCTGTCAACTGGTGGTTTTAATGAAAAGCACGAAGATTGTGGTTATACTGTGTGGCTTATTTAAACAAAAAGACTCCATTTAAGCTATATTCCATGATGCCTGCTTTAAATGGCCTGTTGGAAATAGCTTCCTCTTTTATTTGCTGATGTCTGTGTGCAGAGTAATAATGATGAATATATAATGTATGTTCATGATACTTTTAAGTGGCTTTTGCCCTTGAAAATGTGCATACATTTTCTCTGTAGATCCAGGAATGTGCAAACCCGCTGAAACTCCCTCTAACTACAAAGGGACATATAAGTGGCTATTAACCAACCCTACTGAGACTGCCCAAACTAGATGCATAAAAAATGAGGATGGAAATGCCACTAGAATCTGGTATGTAATGGCCAAGGTCTAATTGCTGGTTCACATACACAAAGATCCACTTAGTTGTTGGAAGCATGAGTCAATGTCATTTGTGTGAGCATGTTCCCTCCCCTCTACCTCTACTGTCAATCTGTCTGTCTTTTTCTTTCTTTCTTCTTTTGTTCTTTCTTTCGAACTTAAAACATATACATGCAAAATAGTAAGAAAAAATTTCAAGAAAGCAGAAGGAAAAAGTCACTCCTAATCTCACCACCTGAACACAGCAGTTTTTAGCTGGCATTTTTTTTTTTCTATCTAACCTTTGTCGGTGTGCTTTTAAGTGTTTGGCAGTGGCAATCACAGTTCTCATACCAATAATGTAATTTACCCTTTCACTCAATGGTTTATCAAACATTTTCTATGTTTGACATTCATCTTCTTAATGATCATTTCGAAAATCAGCCTCAGATGCCATCCTGTTGATGGGGCATAATAATTTACTAAATTTTTCTATTGTTGACGTTATCATTTTCCTTTATAAAATCATCAGCCCTCTCTTCTTACTCTCAGTGTTAATGGTTTATGCCATTAACTTAAGTGGGCAAGAGCAGAGGGCCCCAGGTTTCAAAGGAGGATTAAAAGCACTCTTTTAGAAAGCCACACCCCCTACTGCAGCCCACCTTTCCCTGCCTGCCTGTAATCAGCCAGCAAGGCAGGCAGCTTGGGCAGCCGCAGTTGGAGCTCTCACATAGAGCCTCTCTTTTCCAATCCCACTGCCTGGTGCAAGCTCCTTACTAGCCCTTGTGTACTATTAGAACACTCCTTTTGCCTTCTACCCATCCACTACCCCCTCTATTGCACAGTGCTGCCAGCATGATTCTCCAAAGGTCTGGATGACACCTCATCATTCATGTGCTCGAATGAAGTCCAAACGCTGGAATACAGTCCTCAAGACTGCAGACTCCTATCCCGCTGTATTGCTTTCTTCTCCCTTTACCATGTACTCCAGCTCCCAAAGACCATTTGTTATTTCAGACTCTGTGGGGACTTCCTTGTGTCTTTCTGCTTGTGCAGTTTGCTTTTCTTGGAGGGAGGGGCAGGGAGTGGGGTGGGGGGCAGGTGTCTCGGTCTCCGTCCTTTGGGTACTAGGCTTAGTTAAAATGTTTCTGAAAATAAGGGCTTCTTGATGGCTTGATAGGCTCAGTTTTGTTTCTACAGCTTTTCTTCTAACATTTTGTCTAATTTTAGAGAAGTTACTTTTAGACTGTGAAACTGCTGGATTCCAACCTCCTCCACGAGGGCTGGGACCCTGCCCTGTTTTCCTGCGCTGCCTATCACCATTCCTGGAGCAAGGTGCTTGCTGCCTGACTTGCACTGGGTTGAGTCGGATGAGGGACAGAAGAGGGTGGGTGATGGGGGCCAATGAGCTGCAGAGGTTTCTATGCTAATCACCTTGACAAATGGATATGCTGAGCTAGAGACAGCATTTCAACAGGAGTTTCCTCCTAGAAATAGGAGAAACTGAGGACACAGAGCCACGTCGAGGGAGCAAAGGTCGTTGCCTTGATGCTTGGTCGCCTAGCTGTTGTCATCCCCCTCCTCAGCGTTCTTGCCTGTCTACCTGCCCCACATTCTAACCCTAGGTTCACCTGCCCTCCCAGAGCAAAGTATTTCTCACTTTGTGCAGAAGGACTGGGCTCCCATCTGTGTTCTCTGGGAAGGATGCTGGGGCAGAGAAAGAAGGAGGCCTGCAAAAAATGGACCTACCCCTCCACTACTCGCTTCACTACACTCTCCGTCTCCTCCTTGAGTGAGGAAGTTGAATGATGCCTTTAATTCATCCCTTCCCTTTTTTTTCAGTTCAATCAGCATCGAAACAGGCAAATCTCAGTGGGAAAAGCCAAGGTTCAAGCAATGCAAGTTGCTTCAGAAACTTCCTGATAAGATTGTGGATTTTGCTAATATTACCATAAATGACGGTAAGACTGTTTGGTACACATCAGAGAAACTTCAGTTAGATTTTCCTGTTGACCTGAGAACACAGAGATTACAGGCAAATGATAATCTGGCTTTAGAAAGTAAGTAGTTAATGTTGGTAGAGTTGATGCGAGGCATGGAAAATTAGAACTAGCAGGAATTTTGCTTTTTTTTATAAGGCTTTACTAATTTTTATTTTCCATTTTAATTTTTAAAAGGTGTAATAGGCAGTACTTTATGTAGCTCAATATGTAAAGGACAAAGAGGATGTACAGTGAATCATCTTCCTCCCACAGGTGACCCCACCATCCAGGTACTATCCACAGAGACAGAGTACCCTCTTCTGAGGTTATACACATGTACACGCCCCATCCCTTTTGTATACAAATAGGAGCATGCTGTACACATTGTCCTCCACTTCACATTTTTCTATTGATAACATACTGAAGAGATTATTCTTATCATTATACAAAGGGCTTATTCAACCCCTACATAGTAGTACACCTCATGGGTGGGCCACCAACTTATTTATTTACTTGTAGGTTATTTCTTAAATCAATTTTAATAGATTCACAAAAGCATAAAACTGATATATATTAATGGAGTACCTACGATGTCATTGCATAATGTTCAGATTGGGGCAATTATATCTCTCCTTACACATGTGTAATTTCTCTCTAGTGAAAATATTCAAAATCACTTTACATAGCATTTTGAAAGACACAATAGGTGATCATTATGTATGGTCACCCCACTGTGCAATAGCACCCCAAAGCTTCTTATACTAGTCCAGTGGCAGTGTGGTACCCATTTTCCACCATTCCCCCATCTCTTTTCTCTGAGTAACACTCCAATTTATTTGTTTGTTCTATTTCTATGTATATTTCAGTTTTAATAGCACTTTCATTAAAAATACTGCTTTAAAACTACCTTGTTTATTTACATTTTTAAGCAATTTTTTTGGTACCAGGGATCAAACTCATGACCCTGCCCTTTCCAGGCAGGTGCTATGCTGCTGAGCTAAATCCCCAGCCCCCTATATTTTTATTATAAGGAAAATAGTGCAACATATTTTTAAATAAAAACATTTTTGTTGGTATGTAAAATGTTTTAGACTAGCATTCACTAAGCAGCTGATAATGAAGGTTGCCTTTCATATAAAAATACAGGCCAGATACCATGGTACATGCCAGTAATTTCAACATTGGGGAGGCTGAGGCAGGAGAATCACAAGTTCAAACCAAGTTCCAAACCAGTCTGGGCAACTTAGCAACTTACTGAGACCCTGTCTTAAATTTTAAATAAATGAAAAGGGTTGGGGATGTAGTTCAGTGTGAAGGTTCTGGGTTCACTCTGTACCAACACTACCACCACCACCACCAAAAAATGCACTTAGAGACCATGCTAGCTTTCATTTTGTTTTATAACAAGTTGTTACCATATTCTACATTATTAGATAAAATAAATTCAAAATAAGGTGCATTTCTTTAAACTACATGGAAAGACCAATTTTTGCTAATCAAATCATCAAAGATTTAAAAGCCCGATAGATAACACACTGTGCTGATGAAGGTATTTTGAAGCTGGCACTCGCTTAGCTTGCAAGTGGGAACATTAAAAAACACTGCTGTAAGAGATGTTACACATATGTCACAATTTTGTGCAAGTAGGGTACATCTGAAGCGCAAATTTCTGAAAGTCGAATTTCTAGGTCAATCATGCTTTTGATGTTTTCCAAAATGCTCTTTGTGGTAGTTGCACCAATTTATACTTCCACTTGCAAGGTATTAAAACCCTGTTTCAGAATGCCTTCATCAACGTAAGATATTTGTAGGCTTTGGATCTTTGATTAGCAAAAATTTGTATCTTGATGTAGTTTTAAAACTTTTTAATAGAGATAGTCCCATATCATTTATTTAATATTCAGTGGGTTGATTTTAGTGGATTTTCTTAGCATATTGACGAGGTTGTATAATTTTCCAGTCTTCCCGTTTCTCCTTCCCTTGTCTCTTGGCAGAGATTAATTTACTTTCTGTTTCTATGATATTCTGGGCATTTCCTAAGTTTTTTGAGGTTCATCCATGTGGTATAATATATTTCAGTTCTTTCTTTCTTTCTTTCTTTCTTTCTTTTTGTACTGGGGATTGAACTCACAACCTAGTGTTTGCCAGGCAGATGCTTATTCCTCTGAGCTAAATCCCCGGCCCTTCATTGCTTTTTATGACTGAGTAGTATTCTGTTAAATGACTGTAATACATTTGGTTTATTTATTCATCAACAGATGGGCATTCGGTTTTTTCCACCTTTTTTCTTTTGTTAAATGTTATTTTAAAGATAATAAAACTAAGCAAAATAAAGCAGAACAAAGTCAATCAAAACAAACCAGTGTAAATGACACAGGACTTCAAAACAGTACAAAATCAGCAACGGTTACCATGCCTCTTGTTGTCTTAAAAATAACTGTAGATAACTTCAGACATAGTAAAAATCAAATAAAACAATATAATCAATAAAAACAAAGCAATAAATGTAATAAAGGACTTCAAAATAAGACACTAGTAAATCCAAAATGGCTATCATGATATATCTTGCTAACTTTGAAATAACTATCCATGCTATTAAGATATAACAAAATCAAAGTAAAACAGAATCAAACCCAACCCAAAAGAACAATGAAAATGATACAAGATTTCAAAACAAGATAATAAGAAATTAACAATGGCTACCATCTTCAGAAGGAGATCCCCCATAGAGGCCACACTGCATACTTTGATCCTCTGAATAGATATCAGACCACCAGCCCTAGACCTGCAAAGTCAGTGAAACACCAAACACCACAAGCATCAAATTTTATTTCGTCTCAATAGCTATCATCAAATCCTGTGTTTCTCTGTATCAGCCGGTTGCTTCTAAGGCGGAGAGAGGGGTTGTCTCTTCTTGTTTCCCAGCCTGTGCACCAGAAGGGACTGAGGTCTGGCTGCTCCCAGAGGTGGTAGCCCATGTATGGTGCCAGTTTTCAGGAAGGGCTTTCTTCTTGTTGACTTCTTGTTCTCTTCCCCCGTGGTCTGCAAAGGGTGCTGACTCATGGGAAGAGGCTGGGATAGTAAATCCAAAATGGCTACCATAATATATCTTGCTAACTTGCAAGCGGCAAGTGCACGGTGCTGGTTTGCCAATGGATTTTTACACCTTTTGTGTATTATTAATAGTCTGGCTATCAACTTTTATGTGCAAATTATTGCATATACAAATGTCCTCTTCTTTTATATGTAACATCAAAGAGTAGTAACTTTATGAATAGTTTTGGAGGAACTGCAAAACAATTTTCCACAGAAGTGGCACCATTTTTACCCCTGTTTAAGTGTAAGAAGGTTCTGATTTCCTTATGTCTGTGTGAACACTTACTATTGTCCGTCTTTTAAAAATTACGATTGATGGTAATCCATCCCCCAGTCAACATACACACCTTCACTCCAGTATCTCCACTTTTAGTCATTTGTGCTTTCTGTCTTTATGTCTTGATCAGTCTAGTTAAAGACTTTGACTTTTGTTAATTTTTAAATAAAGTTTATTTATTTAGCAGAATTTTAGGTTAACAGGTAATTGAACATAAGCTATAGAGTTTCCATATATGTTTCTTGACATAGGCCCTCCGCGCAATGGACAATCCCACAAGACTGGTACATCTATTAGGATGGATGAGCCTATACCAACACATCATTATCCTCCAAGGTCCATAGTTTACATTAAGGTTCGTTGTACATTCTGTAGGTTTGGATAAATGTGTAGTGGCACATATACACCAACACTGAGTACCATACACAAGTGTTTAACTGAAAAATCCTCTGTGTTCCAAATATTCACCCCTCATCGTCCAAAACCCTGGAAACCAGTAATCTTTTTGCTGTCTCCTTACTTTTGTGTCTTCCAGAATGTCCTACAGTTGGAATCATATGGTATGTAGGTTTTTCAGGTTGGCTTCCTGTACTTAGTAATATTCATTTGACTTTCATTGATCTTTAAACTTAGTAATATTCATTTAACTTTAAATGAATAAGAAAAGAAAGAAGTTATCAAGTGATATTCATTTAAAGTTAAATATTCATTTAAAGTTAAATGAATATCACTTGATAACATTTCTTTTTTGCACTTAAGGCTCTCTTCTTGTCTGAATATAACCAAGTTTACTTATCCATTGATTGATTCAAAGAAATCTTGGTTGCTTCTAAAGTTTGGCAGTTATGACTTAAAATGCTCTAAACACCTATGCACAGGTTCTTATAAGTATGTAAAATTTAAACTTATCTGGGAAAGCTTAAGGGAGTAAACTGCCACAGTATCTTTCAAAGTGTCTGTACCCCTCATATTACCATCAGCAGTGAAGGAGAGCACCTGTTGCTCCGTATCCTAGCTAGCATTTCATGTCAGTGTTTTGGCTTTTGACCATTCCAACAGGTATGTAGAAGGATAGCATTTTTGTTTAATTTGCAGCTCCCTAGTGACATATGGTGCTGAATATTTTCATAAACTTACTTGTCTGCTGTGTATCTTTTCTGGTGAAGTGTATGCCATAGACTGGATTTTTATGCCTGCCTCCCATTCATAGGTTGAAATCCTGATCCCAGTGTGAAGATATTTGGAGATGGCATCTCTGGGAGGTTACTAGGTCATGAAAGTGAAGCCCTCATGAATGCTCTTATAAAATAGGCCTGAAGGAGCTTTCCTGCCCTTTAGCATTGACGTTACAGTGAGAAAATAGCTGTGTATGAACAAGGAACTGGGAGCTCACTAGACACTGAACCTGTTTTCCTCATAGAATTTCAGTTCCTGCCCAGTTCTTCAGGCACAGCTCTACTGTATAGGTTGGGTCGCTGCCATAATGAACTGGCAAAGCCCTAGTGCCTTGAGTCAAGCCAGGGAATTGGCTCGGAGGCAACTGACTTCTCAGACTTGTCTTCCCTGCAGAAGATAAAAATTTGAGATCCTTGCCAAGGAATATCTAGAAGGATTAGACAAACAAAAACAACCCTGATGATTCCTAGATTAGAAGTCATGAGTCAGGGCAGTAGGGAGTATCTCAGCTTGTAGTGAGTAGGTGGAAATATGGTGAGGTTTGTGTTTTATGCTGCCCTCCCTCCTTCTAACTGCTTTCTCTTATGGAAGACCAAGTCAAGAAATGGTTATAACAATAAGAAAAACACTATTTTGAGTGGGTTTTGTGAGTTGGGGAATTTAGAAAATTGACCGTAAGAATTCACTATATATTATAGTATATATGTGTGCATTTGTATCTTATGTAAATATTATATACAAATGAATGTGTATATATATATATATATGTAATGTATTTATGATAATATATAATGTGTATATGAACTACCATGGAGTAACAAACCAGGTGGATGGTGATTATGAAGTATATAGCTAAAGATACACATTACTATAATATAAAAATAAACTATCAATTATATATTATATCTATATATGTATGAATATTTTATACCATATAAATATTATATACAGTATATGTACAATAGTACATATAATAATATATAATCTACTGTGTAGTAATATAATACTTGAATGATGATTATAATATATATATCTAAGCATATATATTAATATGACATAAAACTAAATTATCAATTATATATCATACATAAATATACATATTAATGCTAAATAAATATAAGTGCATATACCATATAAAATATTTGTATTATACATAATATGTGTAGTAATATATAATATATAAACTACTATGGAGTAAAAGAACAGATGTGATTGTAATGTATGTAACTAAAAAAGTGAACTATGAAGTTTATTAGCTTTGGAGGAATCCTCATCTTGTAAATTATGAGCTTGACAAATAATCAGTACAATGTGAAGGAAATAAAAATGTATTCATGCTGAAATAATTTATTTTATTTAGTTTTTAAACTTGCTGACAAGCATTAGATATCTTAGTTGGAGAAAAACTCTTCAGTTCTCTCACTTAGATGCTGATTTTTCATAACTGCTTAATACCACAAGGTTTAAAATGGTACACTTAATTTCAAAGTTCTTCAAGTTCTTTTTTGTGCTCAATTTTGTCACCTACCTTTTGAAGATGCACCGGGTTCTAATGCAATTACCTAAGACTTTTTAAAAAATTCTCTTCTGTCTGTGTGCATCCCGCCATCAGGGTGGGGCAGTGAGCGATGAAGAATGAATGATAGAGCAGGGTGGGGTAGCTCAGTGATGGGCTGTGGGCCTCCGATGCACCAGGCCCTGGAGTCCCTCCCAGGAGGTCACGTAGAAGGACTGCAAAGCGCTACCATTCCAGTCCCCAACAATATGGAGAAAAGAAGCAAAGGCACGCAGCAAAAATGGTGTTGAAAGACTCAATCTTTGGAGTTGGAGAGGGTTACAATTTCTTAGCATCTTAATTTCTTCATTTGTATAAAGGGAGTAATATTTAGGTACTCATCGCATAGGGCAGTGATGGTGAAACTTTTTCAGACAGGCGCCCCACCTGCAACCCAAAACCCACAAACTGCCAACACTGCAATTAGACCTAAATACTGAAAAAAAAAAAAAAAAAAAAACTCGCGTGCTAACATATTTTGTTTTACAAGAAAAACGAAGAGCACATGTGTCACAGGTTCACCACTACTGTATGAAGCAGACCCAAATGTCAAAGAAGGAATGGGTTGATGTTTAGCATTTTGAATACTGCACTCAGCAGCAAGTCATTACAGGCATTTTCACGGTCATTCATCACAATAACCCTATGTGAGTGGCAGTGAGCCTGCCGCATGTGCGCCACAGCCAGCTGTTCGTTATCCCTGAAAACTCCCAAAGGCTCGCAGTCACTGGCTTGGTACAGTAGAATCTGGAAATAGTGACGCTGCCAGTTGTGACATTAATTTTTAAGAGGACTGGAAAGTTCTGAATCCTTTGTTTTCATACACTTTCACTTGGGATGCTTCTTCTCAGAACCCAGATACCATGCTGGAAGAATCCTAGCAGTATGCTGGAAAATATTGAACAACCACTTTTACTGAAGAAAGGTACTAATTTGTAGCATTTGCTAATTTTCACGATTTGATGTACTCTTCCCATGACTGAATAGAAACTGCGTGTGATCACCGGACTATGAAGTTAGTAAGAGTTGTCACACAGAGACAGTGGATATAAATAATTGCAAAACATGGATGAATATAATGGCAAAATAATTAGGGAGTGAAATTTCGAGTGTCACCACTGGTTTTAATATATTTAACTGTAATTTATATTATTTAATTTTTAATAATGTCTATGTTTAACATCCAGCTCGCAAAATTCCCTGAGATTTGCAATTGATTGTCATAAGCTGGTATAAGTTGACTCTGGTACATCCAAGCCAGATCCAGCACACTACTGAGCCTAAGGCACTGGAAGAAATCATATGCAGAGGGTGCAGGCCCAAGCCCTAACTGACAAGCACATGGTCAGTATCAACAGTCAGCCTTGTGAGTGCTCCATTGGTTTTGCAGTGTTGAGGATGGAGCCTAGAACCTTGTGCACTTCAGACAATCACTCGCCCACTGAGCTACATCCCCAAGACCTAGTGCTCCAGTTTTGAGCTTCCAGCCAGGTCTAGCCTTCAGATGTGTCCAGTTGAGGTTGCCATCTGACTGCAATTTCATGAGAGATTTCCCCATGAAGACTGCTCAGACCCCTGAGAGACAATAATTTATTACTGTTTTAAGCTATAAACTTTGAGGTGGTTTGTTATGCAGCAATAGGCAACTAGAACATTGACTCACAGAAATTGCTCGATAAATAACAGATATTGTTTTGATTATTACAATTACTGACCAGTTAATTGTTAATAGTAGTGAGAGCGATGAGGATCAATTCATTTTACCTTCAATAAAGGAAGATTCCTTTGATTACTTTTGCTTGGGGGCCTAGAATTTTTATATAATGAGTGTAATTTATCCTGAATTTCCCTTAAAAAGTGTGTAACTCTAGGTGCAACATCTATGATTATTTCCCACAGTATAGTTGGTCTCCCATTGGCCCTGTTTACTTTCATTCTGTCACAGCAGGGAGGGCACCAAGTGGGGTCACACCACTGAAACCCAAAGAATCATGACTAGGCAGCTCGGCTATTCCATTTTCTTTTCTTTTCTTTTTTTAATCGGTACCAGGGATCGAACTCACGACTGCCTGCTTGCAAGACAGGCACTTATGACGCTGAGCTAAATCCCCAGCCCCAGGCTATTCCATTTTCAACAATGCTTGAATAGTTTAATAAGAGCAGTAGAAAGATTCATGAATGAGCTTGATACTTTATCCTTCTATCACATCTTACCATTTTTCTGGTTTCTTTAACCAACCAGAAGATAGATATTAATAGGAACAAAATATAACTTTAGAAACAGTTACAGATTTAGTCAGTTCCTGCCCTTCTTCCCATCTCCTCAGGGAAAGCCCTGCCTTTGCCCACTGGGGTCCCATCTAAGGCACCGTTGGGCAGATTGGGGTAATGGTCAAGGATGGGGTTTGAGAGGACCTCAGTTAAGATTGCTTCATTTGCACCAATGGGGGCAGAACTGTTTGTAGAAAAAGAGAATAAAGGAAGAAAATGAAGGGATAAAGAGAGAAAAATAGCCTATGAAGGAAGAAAATGAAGGGATAAAGAGAGAAAAATAGCCTATGAAGGCTTTGAGAAGATATAGTTGGGGTGAATGGAGATAAGAAGGAGGTGTGGACAGATGCTTCTGACAGAGAGAAGAGAGGAAGCAAGAGAAGGGGGAGGGGAGAGAGAGATTGAGATTATGCAAAATTACCCCCCCCCCCAGATCTGTCGGTTACTCATAACCTCAGTTACATTAGTCAAGAATGTAATCTCTCTGGGCATTTTCTTATTAACAGACTGTATTTTTCAACTGTTTCCCTTCACGTTTTGCTTACTGAACTTGAACTTAAGTGCTATAAGCAAGAAAACACCAGAGGCAGCTAAGCATTATATGGTTACACTGAACTAAAATCTAATTTGCAGTGTAATTGTTTCACAAGACTCTTAACTTTAAACATGGAGGGTGAGTCAAACAATTATTTAAAAAGACATTTATGGTACAATGAAAGGCTGAATATTTGATGTTCATGAATACTATTGCTAATTTTTCATCTTCAATTTAATTTAATTAGGATTATGGTTAAGACTAAAGTCCTTTCTTTTAAAGATAGTGCTGACATATTTATAGATGAAACAATATGTCTGGGATTTACTTTCAGATAATCTGGGATTAGGGCAAAAGTGGGTGAGAGACAAGATAAAATAAGATTAGCCTTTTATTGACACTTCTTGAAGTTGGGTGATTCATGAGCTACACAAGGTTCTTTATACTATTCTTTCTACTTTTGTGGATCCTTGAAAATTTCCATAATAAAGAGTGGAAAAAAGTGGGCGACTTAATGTCTATTGTTCTTACTGTCTAAAACATCTATATTAATTGGTTTTCATTATGTGGTCCATATTTGCTTTTTTCCTGTGGGTTGATGGTTCTTGACAGAAAGTTATAATCATCCCCCTTGATTGTGAAAACATAGGCTGTGTGTTTGCTGATATTTGAGGACAGGTGGAATCTACTTAATCCAATACTCAACAGCCTTGCCTTAATTAGAATCAAATTTCGAGATAATTCTTCAGTGACAAAAAATTTCCCTGCTGTATTTTTAAAAGAGTTCAATGAGTAAAAACTTGACTTAGCACTACATTCTGGGGCTACATGTACTGCAGAAGCTGAGGTCCAATGTTTTCCTTCTGTAACCTGTGTTATCTCGACATATATTTCCATTTCATACCCTTTAGTTTTTAAAGGGAAGGAAGCAGACCAGCATGGCCCCAAACTAAGAATAGTGATAGAACTTGTACATTTCTACTTTGTTCCCTAGAGAACGCAGATGATGTTGCAGAGCACATTTTAAAGTTGATAAACGAATCGCCGCCTCTGGATGAAGAAGAGACCAGAATTATTGTTTCAAAAGTAGACGAGATTTCAAAGTGTGATGAGATAAGTATGAACATAACCCAGATTATGTTACAAATAATCAGCGCTGTTTTAGAAAAGCAAAATGATTCAACTTCCAATCTGCATCAAGTAAGCAATACGTAAGTACTGATAGTTTGGTAAAAGAAATTATTTCATGAAATTTAAATTGGATAGTATTACATCCTTAGCACATGGTCTCCACCAAATGTAACAGTCAGGTAGTTACACATCAAAAGGTCAGGCTGTGCAGTGTAATGGGATAATTTTACTCCAATTCCTGTTGTGAAAGAACACTTAAATTGTATCCTAGTGAGAATAAGTTTTCAGAGCAATAGTTATGCCAAGCCAAATTTGCAACCTATTTCTCCAACCTTGGTTGTTCCCCAGATTTCTCTATTTCTATAAAATTGACCTGAGCACTTCTAATGCCAAACTTGAGGAATCATACTAGTTACCCCTCTCTAGCTCATAGCCAATCAACAACCAACTTTGTATGAGGTGCTGCATACATGCTATAAATGAATCACCATCACCTCAACCCATCTCTTAAATATTCCAGTGGAATCCATCCATTGTCCTCTATTTCTACTCCTTCAGTTCCAGCCTCATTTATCTCCCCTGGCCCCCTTCAGTGACCCCCTAACTGATCTGTCTGCCTCTCCTCTTGTTCCTCTACGGTCCATCTTCTACATAGCAGCCAGAGTGCTGTCTTTGCGTGTTTGTGTAAGATCATGGCATTCTCTTGGTGTTAGAACCATGGGGTGGCATTCTATCGCACGTCTGGTAAAATCAGAACTTTTAAAATAATTATTTATCTATTTATTGTTGGTATTGGCAATTGAGTTCAAGGGCTTTGCCCTGAGCTACATCTCTGTCCTCTTTTTTACTCTTTATTTTCAAACAGGGTCTCCCTAAACTACTAAATTTCTTAGATTGCACTCCAACTTGCAATCCTCCTGCCTCAGAGTGCTGGGACGATAGCCCACTGGCAGAACTTCTTGTAAGACTTGTGAGGTTCTGAGGGATCTGGCTTTCCAAACAACAATTTTATTTAATCTTCAAAACCATCTTTTGAGATGTGTGCCAGTACTACCTCCCACTTTTTGGGTGAGGAACCTGAAGCCCAGGAAGGCCACTTTTCTTTTCCACACAGTTTGAAATTAGAGGTGTTAAGACACAGACCTAGGCCTGTCTCCTTCCAAACCAGATTCATGATTCCTAAACTATAAAAAGAAGGGGATTAAGATAAAAAGCAAAGTTTTGCAGCCAGGAAATCCTGTCAGGAGGACAGGCTTTACAGGAGCAAAGGAGTTGGCCGCTTCACCTGTGGTTTCCGGCAGAATTCTGAGGATCATTGAGCGTGCTGGCCACAAGATGGAGTTTTCTGGGAGGACAGCCAATATCACGGTGTCCAGGCTGGCTCTGGCTGTGCTGCGGGCCCGCAGTTTTGAAGGCATGGCCTTCAGCATTCACTCCTGCGAGGATGGCACAAGCCCGGAGGTGAGTGTAGATAGGAATGGAGAGCCAATCAACTAAGCGCATTCCAGTCCTCACTGAGCTTCTGGGGAGAGCCAGAGGGCCCTCTTAAGGCCTTCGTCCTCGGGGACCTCAGGAAAAATGCAAATGGCACAGGGAAGAGTCATGTAACTCTTAGCAGGCTAATATCTTGATTGGAATGGTGGCTATGACATATGCAACCATGCTGTGTTTAACCTTGTGACCTAAAATCATTTCAGATGTCAGTTTATTATTTGCTGTCATCTGGAACCCTTATTATATGTTGAGTGTCACACTGCTGTCTTCCCTGCTACTGATAAGGAAACAGAGAAGTTATTTGTCCAAGGACATGCTGCCTAATGGCTAATCCAGAATTCAAAATTATGTTTGGCTGGTTTTAAAGTTGTAGCCCAGAATGCTTAGCACAAAGAAATGGTAAATGTCTGAGGCGATGGATATGCTAATTATCCTGGTTTGATTATTATACACTTTCAAAATACATTGTTCTTTATACACAAGTACAATTACTATATATCAATTATTAAAAGAACTCTAAGCCTTTTCCACTGTGTCACACTACCACAGCCGTTAGTAGAAAATAGGTTACTAACACTGCTCAATTTGGGAGGCCAGAGATTGTTAATTAAGTTTATTGGAATATTTAAATATACATCACAATCACATTCATCACAGGGAATTTGTACCTGCACATGATATAACTTGCTCCTTCTGTTTCCCTCTTCTCCTCTCCTCTCTTTAACCCCTTTATATACAAAAGCTTTGTTTCCATTTTATCCTTTTCTCATTTTTTGTTTTCTCTTTCCCCACTCTTGCCCCCAGTTTCCCTTCCTGTTGGAACATTTTCTTCCTATTCTCCAATAGGAATAGTCACAGTATTTATTATACAGTCTTTCCACAATTCAAAAATTATAAAACTTACATATGGAAAAATGTACAAATCTTAAGTATGTACTTTCTGAGTTTTGTCAAAGGCATACACCTTTATAACCCCAAACTTTTATCAAGATACAAAATATCTCTACTACCTCTGAAAAGTCCCTCAGCTCCCCCAGGCAATCTCTGAAACTACTATCCCCAGGGCCATGATCCTTCTGATAATTTCCATCATTCCTTTTTTTTCTTCTAGAACTTTATACAAATAGAATCCTATAATATGTTACATGTTATATAATGCTTCTTTTATGTAGCATTGTGGGTGGTTTTATCTTTTTGCTTTCATAGTTTATTTCTTTTTGTTGCTCAATAATATTCCATGTATCACATACTGTTTTCTATTTTCCTATGAATAGACATTTGAGTTTGTTTCCCATATTTGCCTTTTATGAATAATGCTAAAAACATTTGTGTAAATGTATCACGCGGACATACCTTTTTTGTGTCTTGGACAAATATCCATACCTGGGATGGTTGGCTCATAGGATATATTTTTAATTTTATGTGAAACTGTGACATTGTTTCCTAAAGTGGCTAATGATGCAGAATAATTTTTCATGTTCGTATTAGCCATTTATCTACTTGAATGAATCATCTACTAAAAGTCTTTTACTTACTTTAAAATTGGTTTGTTTTCTTCTTACTGAGTTGTAAGCATTCTTTATATATTTTAGATGTAAGTCATTTATCAGATATATGCCTCAAAAATCTTTCCTCTGTAGTTTGCCTGTTCATTTTCTCAGTGGTATCTTTTTCTAAGCAGAAGATTGGAGATTTCATGAGACCCATTTTATGTTTCTTCTCTTATTAATGACCATATATGGCTTGTCTAAAAATCCTTGGTCTACCAGCAAGCCGTTAAGCTATTCTGCTATGCTGTCCTTTAAAAGCTCTTTGGTTTTAAAAGTTGTTTTATGTTTAGGATGATACTCCTAATTACTTAAATTAATTATGTATGGCATGAGGTAGATGTTCAGGATCATTTTGTTATATGTATACTTCTAAATTTTCCATAACCGTATATTGAAAACTTTCTCTCTCCCATAGTCTTGGTTTGGTACCATTGACCAAATAGCAATAAACTTTTAAAGCTTAAATTAGTTGTTTCTAAGTTTTCTCTGCTGTTCTGTTTAACTTTTGCAGATTCTTCTGTCATTATTACAATGTTTTGGTGCTGAAGTTTTGAAGACAGTGTGAGCCTTTGAACTTCTTTTTAAAGATCACTTTAGTTATTCTAAGCCTTTTTTATGTTCATATACATTTTTAGATCTGCTTATCAATTTGTGCAAAAGTTTGCTGAGATTATAATCAGGACTGAAGTTGTTGATCACTTTTGGAGAATTTCTTTCTTAGCAATACTAGGTCTTCTAATCCAATAACATTTATTTGTGTCTGTTTACATCTCTCAACAGTGTTCCAAAGTTCCAGGGCTGCTGTATATATTTTGATAAATATATTCCCAAATATTTTATATTTTTAGATGCAGTTGCAAATTGAATAGTTTTTACATTTGATTTTCCAACCCCCTTTTCCCAAGAATCAGACCAATTCGGAAAGTAATCAACCTTTAAAACTAAAGATCAAAAGTACAGGCCCAATCACCCTAGGATTTTCTTACCTGCTTTACAGAGAGTCATCAAGGAAGAAAACAGTGACAACATTGCTGCCTTATTCTTGATTTTAGATGAAAGGTATTTACTATTTGCGATTACTATTGCTAGCCATATTATTTTTTAAGATATCTTAATTTGAGGAAGTACTTTGTTGATTTTTTTTCATTGTTTCATTTGAGAGAGGGTTTCACTAAGTCGCCCAGGCTGCTCCTGAACTCTTGGGCTTTAGGAATTCTCCTACCTTAGCTTCTTGAGTAGCTGGGACTTCAGGCACATACTCTGGAAGGCACCTTCTGTTTGTAGTTTGCTGAAAAATTTTGCCGTGAACCATTGAATTTCATTAAGTGATTTTTCTGTATCTCTTGAAATAATCACTTAACTTTCCACTTTAAATTGAAATAATCCTACACTTCTGGAAGAAACTATTGGCCATGTGTTATAATTTCTATATTGCTATTTTCAGTTTGTTTATATTTTATGAAGTATTTTTGCATTTCTGTTCACGAAGTGTATTGGTCTTCAGTATTCTTTTTTTGTAATTTCTTTGTCAGACTTTAAGATTCTTCCAACTTTATAAAAAGAAGTTAGAAAATAGTCCCTCTTCTACTTTCAGGGTTTGTGTAACATGGATGTTATTATTCATTAAATGTTTGATAGGGTTCATTAGGAAACACTCTGGGTCTGAAATTTCTTTATGGAAAAGTTTTGAAAGCCAATTCAAATTTTAAAATGAATCTAGTGACATTCCATTTTTCTAATTCATCTTGTGTCTGTTTTGGTTAGTCATGTTTTTCTACATTTTTATTTCATCTATGTTGTCAAGCTTGTTGTGCTTGGTTCATACATTTAAATATTTTTTAAGCAGCTATAGGAGTTTTAACAAGAGTTAGAAAACTTATTCGCTAAACTGCCAATAAGATATTTTAGACCTAGTTCTCTTTTGTGCAACCTTAAAAAAAAAAGAAATGTAAAATCCATTCTTTCCTCAGGGCAACACCAAAACACGCCTTGAGTAGGATTTGGTCTGCTGACTAGTTTGCCCACCTCTGATCTATATGATAACTCCTCTTTCATTCCTAATATTGATCATTTCTTTTCTTGTTTTTCCTTGGTCAATATAGCTAGGGATTTTTCAGTTTTATTGATCCTTTCCAAGATTCAAATTTTGGCCTTGTTAATTTTCCCTATGGCCTGTTTTCTACTTCGTTGGTGTCTGATCTTATCTTTTGTTTTCTATCCTTGTTCTTCCCTGGAGATTATTTTTCTCTTTATCTAGCTTCTTAATGTGATCCTAGGCCATTGATTTAGACCTTTCTTCTTTTCTAATATGATCACAAGAAGCTGTGAATATTGCTTTAAGCACTCTTTTGGCAATAATATTTAAATTTTTATGTTGTATTTATTTTCGTTAGCTATCAGTTCTCTCTTCTTTAATGCACGGGTTATTTAGCAACGTGTTGTTAAAATCCAAAATGTTTGAGAATATCTTACTATAATTGATTTCTTGTTTATTTTATTTTGTTAACAGAATATACAGTACTTGCTATAATTTCAGTTGATTTGCATTTATTGAAACTTGTCTTATGACCCAGTGTGTGGTCTATTGAAAAATGTGTATTTTATAGTTGTTTGACATGTTGTTTTAAAATGATTAATTAAGTCAGGGTGGCTGATAGTGCTGTTGGATCATCTGTGTCTTTACAGATTTTTTCCTGGCTGTTTCCTATTTGAGAGGACCGCTAAATTCTCTAACTTTTAGATTGTGTAATTATCATTCTCTCTTTAAGACAATAAATAAATAAATCTTATTTATTAAGATTTTACCTTATTTCTTTTGAGGCTATTTTATTATGTGCATAAATATTTATAATGTTATATCTTTCTAATATGAGTCCTAATTCTAACCTATTTATCATTATGAAATATGCCTGTTTATCTCCAACAACACTCTGTCTTAGAGTATTTTCTCTGATTTAAATCTAGCCTTCCCAGCTGTTTTATGCTTGTTCATATATATCTGATATTTTGTAACTACTTGTGTGTCTTCATATGTAAAGCATAGTTCTTATAGATAGCATGTAGTTTGTGCTTCACTTTTTAATCCATCTTGATAATATTTGCCTTAAATATGAGTGTATAGTCTAATAACGTTTAATGCAATTATTTACATGGGTAGAGTTAGGACTACCATCTTATTTAATTTTTAGCTATTCCTCTAGATTTTGCTTCTCTGTTCCTCTTGTCCTGTTGCCCTTTGCTTTACTCTATATCTACAATTATATTTTATTTTTACATGTCCTTTACTTATGTCTATATTGTTTTTAATGCTTACTCTAAAGATTACCATATAAATACTCATATTTTCACAGTCTACTCAGAGTTAATATTTTTCTACTCCATGAGAAATGTAGAAATTCTGAATCATAAATATCTGTTTACATCCCCTGTTCTTTAGGCTATGATTTTCATATTTTTTAATCTAGAAAGATCATAACTCTCACAACAGAATGTTCTAATCAGTGCTTTAAAAGTTCTGTGTAACATAAAGAAATTGAGAGAAAAATAACCTGTTTTATTTGCCGAGGTATTTGTCATTTCTGATGCTCTCCAGTCTTTTCATTGGTATCGTTTCCCTTCAGCTTCAAGAAATTCAGTTAACATTTCTCGTAGTTAAACCTGATAATGAATTGTCTCACTTTTATATGCCTGAAAAATGTCTTTATTTCTCACTTATTCGTAAAGGATTTTTTGCTTGCTATAAAAGTATAGATTTGCCTATACAGCACCATTGTTTTGAAAATTACCCTCCTCTGATCTCCATGTTTTCTGATGAGAATTTTTGTTTCTCTGAATGTGATATGTAATGTGTCATTTTTTTTCTTACTTCTTTAGTTTTTTTCTTTGAATTACTGCAGTTTGACTATGATGGACCTAAGCATGTTTTTCTTTGTATTTAATTTTGGTTGGGGTTTGTTGAGTTTCTTGAACTTGTAGTGTATGTATTCCCACCATTAATTCATCATATACTATTTCTTCACCATTGTGCCTCCTTATCCCTGTTGCCTTTTAACACTGCCCCACCAGGCCTTGATACTTTATGTTGTTACTTATTTTATTTTCTATTCTTCTGGTGGAATCATTTCTATTAATTTATCATCATTTGTCAGCATTTGTTATCATCATGTTGCTATTGACCCCATCTGATGCAGTTTTTAAAATCTTACACTGTATCTGAAGTTCTAGAATTTGTTTTCTTCTCTTTCTCCTCTTTTACTTTGTCCTTCTCTTCTTTATCCCCCCTTCCTCCTTTTCTTGGTTTCTGCTCCTATTTACTCACTTTACATTAATTATAAACATATTTTCTTTTAAATACATGAGTGTAGTTATACTGGCTTCTTTAAAATCCTTGCCTGCTAACTAAAACACCTGAATCATCTCAGGATTGACCTCCGTTGATTGTGTTTTCACTTTAAAGCAGATCAGAAATTTTTCTTTCTTCACATATCAAGTGATTTTGGATTATGTTCTGGACATTGTGAATTTTATATTGTTGGGACTCAATTCTACTATATTTCCCTGAAAACTGTTTTTATTATACTAGGTGATAAACTCGGCTGGAATTAAACTGTAAATTCCTCATCCTAGGTGGCAGTTAAAAAATCTCAGTTAAGTTTCTTTATTCTAAATTGGAGTCTGTACTATACATATATGATGAACTGGTCAGGCAGATATTTGTACAGAGTTTGTACTTATAATTTGGACTTTCTCTGTCTAGCTCTCTCCATTCCAGATGTCCCCCTCCCCCCTTCCAGTACCTGTGGTTTTTCTGACCTGAGTTTTCTGATTCTTTACACAAGGAAGAATTCAGGTTTTCCCTTAGAGTTTAGGTGTCCCTCACTGCATTAGTTTCAGCCTAGCACGAGACTAACAGCTGTAAAACAGGTAATTCCCTTTTGAGGTTACCTTTCTCCAAATGTCTATTCTCCAGAACTTCTCCACTTTCATTCATTTTCCAGTGCCTTCAAGTCACTGTTAGTTCATATTGTTGTTATGTGCAGGGAGGTCAAGTTCTTCCGGAACTACTTACTCTACTGGGAGCAGATATTGACCTGCCATTGCATTTTGTTTACATATGGGTTTTTCTGTTGTAAATATTAGTAGATAAACCAACCAACCAACCCACCAACCAACCTCATTGACATTCTTGGTGCCAAACTGCCTGCACACTGAAACTAAATCATGCCCTTTCTGTGACACTCATTTGCTCAAGCAATGTTTATTTTTACTAGAAGTACCACATGTTTTAAGGGCTTACAAGTTATTTTTAGAAATATTATAAACTTTCATCTCTTCATCATGTACCCAACTAAGGAATAGCTCTTTTGGAGATAACATGGGTAATAGGAAAAGCATACTCCAAACCACATATGCCTTTGTTCAGCCTTCTCATTGGGTGTTCTTGGACAAATCACTTAACTTCTCTGAGCCTTGGTTTCCTGCTATCGTAATGCACTCTGTTCTCAAGGTTGATAAAGGCACTGAGTAAGGGAATGCAAGGAAGGCTGCTGTTCTGTTTTTGCCTGGGACCAGCCAGATTATAACTCTGTCCCAGTGTAATTTATGATAATATGCCTTTCACTTTCAAAAATATTCTAGTACATATCAAGTAATATTATCAATCGAATGAGTAAATTTTTCTGCTCATGAGTCTTGGAGAAGAATTATTAAAGACTAATAATGCCTTGTTTCCTTGCCCCAATTTTAATGAAAAAACTGTGAGTTAAGTTTATCACATAGTTTTCATTGTTTTGTTTTAGCTTGTTTTTTCTACTTTCAGAACTATATGGGGGTAAGATGACCTGATTTCCAAGACTGGCCTTTATTTAGGAGAATTAAGGCAAATTATGTAAAATGCCATTCCCCTTCTGACTGCTATTATTAACCAGGTGGAACCAGGTTAAAGGAAGAGAAGCTTAGAGCTATGCTTGGAGAGAAAGAAATGTGTTTGGTGTGTGTGTGTGTGTGTGTCTATAGGCACCAATTGGTCTGTCATTTCGTGTCTGTACATGTGTCTATACTTTGAAGTTAGTTTCCAGCTCTCAGCCCTATGCAGGATGCTCTGGGATGGGGATCGGGATTTCACTCTGATGCATGGAGACTCCAGTTTTCATTTCCTGGCTTTTCTTGGCAGATTTACCTAGGTGCTGTCCCTCCGGGGAGGGTTTTGACTTCCATATATTTGCCTAAGTCACTGAGGGAGAAAATTCCTCTTAACAACTTACAAACCATCTTGTTTAATTTTTTTGGCCAAACTTCACTCTTTAAGGTAAGTTCTTGCCTCTAATAGCTGTCATGAACTGACATATGGTGACTCACTCTAATTATGAGCTCCTGCAATTTTCATAGTGTTCTGTTTATTTTAGAAGACTTTCTGATTGATTCTACAAGTCCTTCAGCACAACCCCTGGCCCTCAACATGAATCAACGTCTACTTTAATGATGTTCTTCAGTTTTTAATTTTCACAGTTTCTCAGCTTTGGATAGGGACTTAAAGATTATCTAGTGACCAAACAGAGACCTCAAGAAGTTTGAAATCTAAAAAGGAACAACATGTCCTCCTGATGAAAAGCCCTTCGGACGTGCCAGTGCTTTTCTCCAAACTCTCTCCTGGCTCATCCCAGCCAATGCACCCACCCTTGTGGATGAAGTTCTTTGAAACTGGGTGGGGTTCAGCAGTCACTTGTCTGTGTACATTTGTTGTTTTTCCTCCCCACCTGCACAGAACCTTTTCTGAGGGCTCCATCCTTCCCCCTCTAAAATAGGCAGTATGATGAAATGATGAAGAGGACGGACTCAGGGGTCAGGAGATGGTGGTATCTGAAGCTGGCTTTGCCATATCCTATCTGTACAAGCTTGGGCGAGCTGTTCAGTGTTCGTGTGCCTTAGTTTCTTCCTATGCAAAATAGGGCAGGAGTAGCATATTATGGAACTTTTGAAGAACTATGGAGGTAATATGTATAAAGTGGTTACAGTATTGCCTGGTATGTAGTAAGCACCATCATCAGTGCTTGCATTGCTATTTTAATTATCTTTTCATTGCTCTTAACCTGCCAAAAGGCCTATTCCCTCAGAACGCTAGCTTCTTGGAAGACAGCAACATTTGCATGATGTCGAACACAATAATTGTTAATATTTACCCTTATTATCTCATCTACTTCTCCCAAGAAGCTGGCACTCAAAGAGATGAAGTAATTTTACCCAATGACACAGAGTTAGGAAGTGACCTAGCTGGGAATCAAACCCAGGTCGTGTATTTAGGAGATTACTGCACTGGATTTCTCAGGTGCACTGAATTTCTAAGAAGATCATCCAGTGAAAACAACTTCCAATGGTGAAATATTCATGGGGAGATTGTACTGGTCAATTTAAAATATACCACATTCCTTATCACTTATGTGTGTATGATATTCCCCTGGCGTTCCATTAGCCACTTTTCTATCTAAATTTATTCTTGTAGACTTTGCTCAAATTCTACCCAGCATGCCTACCTGTGGTTAGCAAGCCCTTGCTCTAATCCCTGACCCCTGGGAAATAATTTTTAGTGGGCAAAAATATCAATTAAAAGTTTAAAATGTGGCCTGTAGTTATCTGACCCTTTTGATAGTCTTGTCATTTCTCTGGAAACATCTGAGACACCATTATTTTTATCTTAGTATCGCTCCTGTTTTCAAAGGGTTGTGTTTGTCTCTTGGAATAAGAGATGAACTTGCTTTCCATAGACTTCTCACTTATTAAGTAATTTTTATTCACCAACACTTTCCACCGAAATAGATTAAAGATCTTTGCCAAGATTAGCCTACAGATGACATCGTGCCAGATGAAGAAGGATTAGAACTAGTCTGCCATCCAATTCAGAGCTGGAAAGCTTCTCATTACTCATAGTGCCCCATCTCCTCATTGTATCAAGAAAGACACTGACACCCAGACACAGGAAGGCACTGGCTGAAGGCGACAGTTTATTCACCTAATCATTTATTAATTCAGCAAATATTTAATGAATTCCTACTCCATGTCTTATGTTGTGTTCAATGCCGAGGATTCAATACTGAGCCTGGGAGACATGGTGCCTATCATTAGGGAACTCATGGAGTGATGGAGGAGAGTAGAGACCTGAATTCTCTAACACTTATAGGGGGACCCGAGGCTTGGATTTGTGCTACTGACTGCTGAAAAGTGAGTGCTAACAAGATATGCCACTCTCTACTCCCTTTTTTTGTTTCAGTTCTTGATTCTCACAGCTGTGCTTTCATTCTGCTTCCTCTAACATCTTTTGATCAAAATTTTACATTATAACGTATTCCCTTAGAAATTGTTAGAGAGACACCACTCTTGAACATCATCTGCCTTGTCTTCTACTCCTCCACTAGCTGCAGTTCTCAGAAAGGGGAAAAGATGCAAAGCAAGAACAATATAGTTTGGGGCTCTGGGATGTAGAAGAGGGCCCCTACTGTCATTTGGGAAAGCTGCAATGGCCTTGTATAAGAGCGCCTTCAGTGGACACCAGAGCCCTATAGGAGCTAAAAGATGGGAGAGGATGAGGAGGGAAAAGGCAGGAGGTCTCAGGCAGAGGTAACAGCTCCTGTAAAGGTCAGAGGCATAACAGGAACCCTTGAGCCTAGAGTACAAAAGATGGAAGGGTGAGGAATGAATTTGTTTATTCCCCAGCATAGCCACCATTTGTAGGTAAGAGAAATGAAGCCAGAGAGGAACTTAATTAAACCCTGGACTATGCATCATGGATGTCTCTACTATTGGCCTTTCCAATACGGACAACCATTTCTCTTAGATTAAGTTGGGAAAGTCAGTAGAGATCTAGTCCATTCTCTTTCCTTATGTCTTCAATGACCAAGATGGAGAAGGCCTTTTGAGAAACAAGAGGACCTGTCTACTACTTGGTCTTTCAAGCATTAACCAGGGCCCTTTCCATCTGTGGATTTCACTTCTACATCACACTGTTCCAGATAATTCCATTGGGAAGGGAGTTCTGATCATCAGACTGGTTTTGGACAAGCACAGTGAGTCCAAAACAGAACTTGAGATTTCCTAATAGTCTGCAGGCTGCATTCACAATTCCCAGTGTCAGAGTCTGCAGAGCTCTGCAGTGGGGTAGGGAGTAGAGTCTACACACTGTTGCTTTGGGAATATGAAGTCATGGCATCTTCTAAGTGACCATCAGGCTCTTCAAGAGATGTTCTCTAGGCTCACTCACATTCTCCAGGTTTACTTGGCAAGCGCTTAGTGGATTTGTCTCCTGTACCTCCTGTCTTATGTCACACTATCTCTGGTCTCTATATGTGTGTCCCAGAAGAGGCAGGTTCTCAGCTGGCTTACTTTTAGAGGCTTGGTCTTTGGTGCTTTAATTATAAAGTGCCATGTCTGAACACATTTATTCTTGTTGCGTTTATACCAACATTCATTGAATATCTCTTACCTCTCACTCACTAGCTGTGTGATCTTTGTGCATTCAGGCATTGAGCTTGTTCAACCCTTAGGTTTATCTGAAAAATATCTATGTGATATAAGTGAGGATCAAAGGTAGTATTTGTGTGGAAAGCATTTGGAAAAGTTCTCACAATGAGTGCAAGATAAAATACCTACTGTGTGCTAGAATGTGTAGGGAACACTAGGACATTCAGGCTGGGACCATTGCCTCAAGAGTTATTGTTTTTCTAAAAAGGAGATGACTATCCTTACAGACTTCTAAGATGGCTGCTGAGTTCTGTTTTCATCTCCAGTGAGGCTAGAAGAAACAGTGATTTATAACTAACCCATGATAGATTTAGGCTCTTATCAGGAGGGGTTTCTTTATCCTGCAATATTAGGGTCTGTGCTAGTGCAGTGCTGAGTAACAGGTGCAAAAAACATTGCCAGTTGGATAGATATTTGGATGTGTGGATGGATTAATGAATTGTTCTAGCTGGGTGTAATTGAGACATTATGTAAAGACAGGAGGTGAACTGAATGATCTATGAAAATTCATTCTTAGCTTGTTATTTTCTCTACATTCATTACCTAATACTGTGTGTAACATTTCAAAAATTCTAAATTGAAAAGGAGCGTGTAAGGAATTAGAAATTTAGAACCTGAACCCCTTTGTGTTTTATCTACAGACCAAGGATGGCACTAAAACATTAACCTCGTATGTTGTGAGTGCCAGCATTTCAGACATGTCCATTCAAAATTTGGCTGATCCAGTAGTCATCACTCTGCAGCACACGGAAGGAAATCTGGTAACATATCTGTGTTTATCTCAGAGTCTTGTGGCCTCAGATTCCCTCTTTAATTCTCCTATTAAAAATAATTGGCTAATTAACAGATGTGAGTCAAAGACTTAATGAAGTTTGTCTGGGTAGCACAGAAGTGTTGTAACTGGAGACTTCTAGAAATAATTCCTCATCCTAAAGGCATAGGGAAATGTGAGCATTCTAATGCTGTGACAGATTGGTAAGGTAGTAACTGAAGATAGGCAGATCTCTTGGTTGTGCCAGCGCACTAAGTGACATTTAATTCCATTCCTTTTTGAGTGAGGAACGTTCATTCAAAATAACTGAACATTTGTATTCTTTGAATTTCCATGAAGAGCATTAAAATGTGTATTAATTATCACCAAAGGACCCAAACCACAATCATATGGCATAACATAAGGCATATATTACTAAATGATCAAATTTAGCCTTAGTATAAGAACGAATTACTATTTCATTCTTTGATGTTAATGTGTGTCCAGTGAGAAGTCTCAATAGTTTCCTTCATTCCTAATTTAAAAACCATATGGTACAACATATTTTTCACTAGTCTTGGTTATAGAAGAGAAGAAGAAAAGGAAGAAGAGGAGAGAGAATTACAAAACAAACATATACCAACTGGAACATTGTTAGATGAATAAGATCTCTCCATTTGAACTGAGGCTACAACTAAGCTCTCAAACCATTCCAAGTCATCAATTTTTTTCTTGCCTCCAGTGTCCTGAACACTGTAGGAGCTGATGAGGTTTTAAGGTTCCTCTGCTGAGGACCGATGAAGACGCAACTCAGTCTTGTGTCCATAAGGCATCCTCTCAGCTGTGAGCCTTCAATTCCAAAGCTCCACAAAGAACACTTAGGATACACATCAGTCCTGCACTGGCTATCCACAGCCACATCCTGCACCTTGCACCAGGAAACCATGGCAAAATCACATGCTGCCAAATATTTGAGAAGAACACATACCAGACTATCACGCAGCAATATTATGTTTTTTCACTTGAGTTAAATGGAGTTAGTCTTGCAATCTATTTACTATGGCCTGTGTGTGTGTGTGTGTGTGTGTGCATGCATGTATGTGAGCATGTGTGTATATAGATCTACTGTCTGAAAAAATATTGAAACATTTGCATGTATTTGTTATTGTGTAGTAACCCTCACGAATAAAAGGTACCTTATCTCTGATTTCTCCTTCCCAGAATTACCATCAGCTTCACTGTGCCTTTTGGGATTTTGAGACTAACAGTAAGTGTTTTCCCATTGTCCCATCATTTTCCTATTTGCCAGTTGAGATGGGGAATTGTGCAGAAGCTGCCTTAGCAGGTACTACAAAATACTCTGAAGGACCCAGATACAGGATATCACTTTTATATCAGCTTAGGTCATGGGAATTAAGGAGGAACTCCTTTTTCATAAGACTTATTGGGAAAATCAGAAAAGCCATCCAAGTTAGGGGTAAGCAAAGTTGGAAGAAATGTGGATTTGAGGTGCAGTGTAGGTTTGAGCTGATTGAAGAAAGTGGATTGAAGGAATGATCACCTGGCTCTTTATCTGTGCATTCCCATGGGGATTTTCAATGGCAATTATTTTTTCTTCCCTTTTTTCTCTTCACCTTGGGTAGGTCATTTACTCTCTTAATCTTTTTATCTTTTCACTGAAGAAGTGAGACTACTTGGTTGATACCTATGGGCCCTTCCTCCTTGCATAAGTCTTTGATGATAGTAAGAGAAGATACTGTGGATGATTATTACTGACTGGGTTTCTCTTAGTCTTGGCAAATCCACCGGAATCCTTAGAGATAACACCCAATCTCAGAGAATTCCCACATGGAATCAATTTCCCCTGAAATACCATGGTTGGCCATAAGCAGAGTCTTTCTACCCATGTAAGCCGTGCCTGGGAACTTTCCCTTTTCAACATCTTTAGGATTCCAGGGAAAAAAGGAAAATTCTCTTCCCACATGACTCCCTGGGGTACAAGAATGAAGACTTTCCCTTTGTGACAAACAAAAAGGCTATAAGGCCCAAGATCTGCATGTTATGGTCAGTGAGAATTGGTTCCAGAGCCTTGAGTATGCTCAGGAGAAACTGAGGATGTGCCAAGTAGTATAGATACTCTCATTTGTTCCCAAAGAGCTCCACTCCATGATTTGGCTTGAACACAAAACATTTGAGACCGTCTAAATACTGGGTAGAAATGATTATTTCAGATATCTACTCTAGTCCCGCTAAGGAGGCTCAAATATCAGGGTATATCACTGGGGTCTGTATCCATCAAAAAATCTAGATCTGCCTTTTCTGTCAGTGGGATTCTTAAAAAAAGTTGTCACTCCAGCATGATGGCAGCACTATTGATCATAATCAGAGTATGTCAGCATCTGTAGAGGCAGGTTACAAAAACATGAAAAGTAAGAATCAAAGAAGTTATGCCATTTATGAAGTGCCATCAAAGTCAGTTTGGCATATTAGACTTAATTTAATTTTGGTGTTCAGTTATACCTCTATCTTGTTGTCTTAATAAACAAAGATAATTACGATACACATTTGGATGGTGCATATAATGGAAATTTAAACATTTCTGAAAAAAGCAAAATTGCTTTGAAATTCCCTTCTGTTTCCTGCAGATGGGCTAGGTGGATGGAATTCATCAGGCTGCAAGGTAAAAAAAACAACCGTAAATTACACAATCTGTCTGTGTGATCATCTCACCCACTTTGGAGTTTTAATGGTAAGTCTGATGTGTCTTCATCATTCCTCAAATATTGACATCTTTTATGAGACTCGAAACAGTAAAATATATATATATATATATATATATATATATATATATATATTCCATATGAACTAAGTCATGAAAAATGGTGTGCAGTGGAAAAAAGTTCCTTCTTTCATCTTCTTCATCCAAAACAGCGGATTGAAACAAATGTTGATTTTTGTTGTTGTAAAATTAATGTTTGCTCCTTAAATTTCAAGCAATACTGAAAAAGTCGTTTTAATTCCTGTCTGGAGAGATCACTACTTTAACAGTCTGATATGGGCCTCCTTCCGAACCAGTGTACTTATATATTCAAATAATTTTGCATGACATTTCAGAATGTTTTGGTTCTCAGGTTAATAAATGTGTAGACCATATCATCTTTAACGGTCCACTTAATTTTGTGAAAGTTACTTAAGTTCTAAGGGGAAGGAACATTTTTTGATGTTCTGTGTAATGTTTTGGGACGTTCAGTTCAGATAATGATTCATTTTGCATCCCAAATTCAGATATTAGCTTGGTTATATTTTAAGTGTGGAACACGTTGGTGACAATGAAACCAAGGACTAAATGTTCTCCCAATTGCTGTTGATTGCTCTCCACGTCCTGTACACAGGAAATTGTACTAGGCATAGTCAACAAACAAAATATGGTCTTATCATATATCCATCCACATAGTTCGGTTGTGCAAGAGCTAAAGCAGAGATACTGGGAACCACCTGTTAGCACTGGAACTATTTTCTCATTAAATTGTGCTGGTAAATAGTAAAATACAACACATTTCATTACATTCCCTAGGATTTAGCCAGGTCGGCAGTGGATCCAGTGAATGAACAAATATTAGTGGTTATCACATACACTGGATGTGGCATCTCCTCCATTTTCCTGGGAATTGCAATGGTGACATACATAGCTTTCTAGTAAGTTGATACGGCTTTGCTCTGAGTAAGTTTAATTCGGTTTGATGGGTGTTACTGTCCCTGTAACCTTTTTAATTTCGTGAACAAATCACAAAATAGGAGGATGTCAGATCCATTAGAGTATGAAGTGGTCAGGTAAAAAGAAAACAAAATTACTGTCACCTCTAACAAAAGATTTCAACTGGATTTTTAATAGCAAGGGGTTGCAATAGGAAAAGATTTTTCTACCAAGATATAGAAATACTAGACATAAAAACTGGTAATTCAGACTTAATTAAAAATAAGAACTTTTTTATTCAAAAGATACAATTAAGATAATGAAAAGGCAAACCACAGATTGGAAAAAGATGTTTACAATGCAATATCTGACAAAGGACTTTTAGAAATATACAAAGAACTCCCACAAACGTAGCAAGACAGGCAGTACAATTGAAAAATGGACAAAGGAGTTGAACAGGCATCTTACAAAAGAGTTTATCCATGCCTGAACTTAAATTTTACTCAAATGGCCAATAAACATATGAGAAGGTTCTCAATATCACTACTCTTCAGAGAAATGCTAGTCAAGATCACAATCATATTTTGCTATGTATCTACTAGAATGGCTAAAATTATAAATACTGATGATAACAGTGTTTACAAAGAAATGAACTCTTACATATTGCTGATGAAAATGTAAAATGGCACAGGTACTTTGGGAATTATTTGGCAATACGTGCTAAAGATAAATATATGTCTAGGCAATATCTACGGAAGACAAGTATACACTTAGCCATTGACTGAGAAGTTTCACTCATATGTGTGTTCAAGAGAAATGTGTGCCTCTGTCAACCAAAAGATACACATAAAAATATCCATAGCAACTTCAGTTATAGAAATAGCCCCCATTACATTACCAGTTGATTGAATGAATAAACTGTGATTATTTGTAAAATGGAGTGCATACAGCAGTAAAAAGACCTGAACTATTTTTATGCAATGCAACATAAGACCTAAATCCTATAGACACAAAAAGGAGCGGAAGAAGCCAGAAAAAAAAAAAAAAAAAAGATATCACAGCCTAGCATGTGATAACGGACCTGTGATTCCAGCACTCTGGGAGGCTTAGGCAGGAAGATAACAACTTCAAATGCAATCTGGGCAATTTAGCAAATTAGCAAGGCCCTGTCTCAAAACAAAGCATAAAAGGCACAGGAAATGTAGCTGAGTGTGAAGGCCCTGGGTTTAGTCTCCAGATCACACACAAGAAGGAGAAAAAGGAAAGCAGAGAAGAGTGAAGAGGAGAAGGAGAGGATGGAGATGGAGGAGGGAGAGGAAGATCTTGTTTTATGCTTCCATTTGTATGATTTCCAAATACAGGCAAAATGGGAATTGTGGAGATAGAACTTAGAATATTGGTCTGGCGAGGGTTGTTGAGGGAAAAGCATAAGAAACCTTCTGAGTGGAAGTCCCACAGGTTTGTATGTACATGGAAGGATGCCCTGAGCAGCTTCTTAAGATCTGTGCACTGTAAAATTTACCTCAATTTAAAAAAAAACTCACATGTTTAAAACATGAACACTGCAAACTTTAAATCAATAAGTATTTAATCAAGATTATAAAAGGATTAAAGAGGAAAATACATGTCTTTAAAGTTGGAAACTATTAGGTCAGTTTCAACAAGGTAAAATTGTGGTCACTTAGGGAAACTTTAGGCCGTAATTTCATAATTATAAACATTGGGATCTTTGGAAATATCCATGTAACTCTAGTTGAAGTGGTTTCCATGGTCATCTTTCTATTTTGTAATATGTAGATCCAGTCTGTTAAGCTGCTGATGATTGTAAAGAGGAAAAAAGAATTTACAATTTACAATTTACAATTTACAATTGTAAGAATTTACAATTTACAATTGTAAAGAGGAAAAAAGAAAAAAAGGCTAGGTGGGAAAGGCTATTCCAATATTAATATTGTCAGTGAAGGCCACTAGGCTTGGAATACTTTGACTCTGCTTGGAAAGATGGTGGAGGGACTCTGAATATGAGTACATGCAAGTTTGATGAGTAATCTTAATAGGTAGTTCTTTATTTCTGTATTAAACAGATAAGATATGGCAATGTGTAAGTTGAAAAGAGACCTAACTTAACACTTTGCTGTTTCTTTCAGCAAACTTCGAAAAGACTATCCTTCCAAAATCCTGATCAACCTGTGCACAGCATTACTGATGCTAAACCTAGCATTTTTGATCAACTCATGGTTTTCATCATTTCAGAATGTGAGCCTTTGTGTCACAGCTGCAGTGGCACTTCATTACTTCCTGCTTGTTTCCTTAACTTGGATGGGCCTGGAGGCAGTTCACATGTATTTTGCTCTAGTCAAAGTCTTCAACATATACATTACAAATTACATCCTTAAATTTTGCCTAGTTGGTTGGGGTAAGTATATGTGCTGTTGCTCTTAATGTCTGTGTGTCTTTTCAAATTTAGCTCTATGCTAGTCTGTTTTGTGATGCTATGACAAAATATTGAAAACTGGGTAATTTATAAAGAGAGTATCTCTTAAATTCTGGATGTTGGAAGATCAAGATGAAGAACATGCATCTGTTGTCAGCCCTCTGGCACTGTCATAATGTAGTGGAAGGCATCACATGGATGAGAGGAAGAGGGAGGGGATGGAACTTATCTTTTTAAAGTAATCCACTCCTTCAAAAATAAAACACTCCTGCAATAACTTTACAGTGCTACCTCGGTTTACAAACTTATCTTGTTTTATGACTTTGGGAAAGAAGGCTGCACTTGTGTTTCCTTAGGAAAGATGGCCATGGTCATGTTTGGCACTCAGTGTGGTGTTTGTGAACAGAAGTGAAGTTTTGCCCAGTGTAAACTGAGGTATTATTGTATTAACACATTTATCAGGACAAAGCCCTAATTACCTAGTCAACTCTTAAAGAGTTTACCTATCAATACTGTTGCACTGAGAATTGTTTCCCTACATGGACTTTTAGTGTTTTGTTTTCTATCTAGATGCCCCCCTGAATCCTTATGCACTTGTAGGAGGGGCTTTTGGGAGGTGACTGGGTATGGGAGTTGATACTCATCAATGGATTAGCCCACCGATGAGTTTATAGCTAAATGTGGTATTGGGAGGTGAAGTCTGATTAGACAGGTGGGTCAATGGGCAGTGGCCTATAAAGGTCTATCTCCCTCTCTCCTCCTTTGATTGTTTTCTACTTTCTGACTGCCATTCTATGAGCTATTTCTTCTCTATGATGCTCCTTTGCCAAGCCACCATGCCTTGGAGCCAGCTGACTATGGACTGAAACTTCTACAAACTGTGATCCAAATAAACCTTTCCTCCATAGGGTTGTGGGTGTCTGGCATTGTGTCTCAGTGATGTGAAAGTACATAAGACATTGAGAGGCACATTTACTCTACAGCAAGTTCCATTAGACAAATTATTTGGGATCAAAATCTGTTAGTAATTTTTGTGATAGTTAGTACACAAATATTTATGAGACATCACTGTGTGCTTTGTGAAATTCTAGATCTGTAGCAGTGAACCTGTCAAATTTTTAGCCCTTCTTTTACAGAAGTTACAATTATAACACATTTTTACTGATATAACAACTAACACTTAGGTAGCCCTTACATCTGCCAGATGCTATCCTATGTGTTTAATATACTCATTTAGTTCTTACAGTATCTTCATGGAAGATAACTTCAATTAATAGGAGACTGAGGAACAGACAAAAGATAATTTGCCAAAACTTACACCGCTAGTAAGAGCTGAGAGTTGAACCTGAGTGTCTGTCTCCATAGTTGGGACTTTTATCCTCTATAATCCTGTATATTCCTCAGGAACAGGGAAAGAATTTGAAATGGGTGAAAGGGTATGTCTTTTCTTGTTACTGAAACAAAATACTTAACACCCACAAGTTAAAGAAGGAAAGGTTTATTTAGCTCATGGTTTGTAGAGGTCTCATTCCAGAGTCAGCTAACTCCAAGGCAGGGTGGCATGGCACAGGGAGATCGAAGAGGAGAAACAGTTCATGGTAGTGCAGGTAGGAGACGGCAAGCAGCAGCTGTGAACCTGTTTTTCCTTTAATTTCATTCATGTTACAAACCTTGTGGATGGTGCCTCCCATAGCCAGTGTGGGGCTTCAGTCTTCACTAAATCCATTCATACACACCTAGAACTATGCTAATTCCAATCAGTGAACTAATTTTTAGTACCGTTCACCCTGAATCCCAATATCATACACCCTATGAGCCAGCCAACTCCAAAAAGTGGCTAGATCTAAATACAAGCAACAACAGGGTGTCTGTCTGCTCAGCCACGACTTAACTCTTACCAAACCTCAGAACTGCTTGCTCTTGGAAGAAGCCAGGAATATTTCATAATATAAATGCCACTTTGTTTTGCTGTCCAGTATTTCTAACTAGCACGGCCAGCTCAATTCCTTTCCCTCCCTCCTTTGTCTAAAGGAATTAAATGTGTCATGTACATGCACTGACGCTCTACGATGACTATAATTATGTACTGCAAATATATATTAATACAAATAAAAGTAAACAAATTTGGGGCTTAGGGAGTGTGTTGGATGCATAGGAGATGTATACAAATAGGATACATAGCAAGAGTGAATTTATCTTTCACTGCCTTTGTGAAGACAGTCACTTCCTAATTTTTACTCATCCTTTTAGTGAGCCCATTAACATAATACATGCTTTCATTAAATACACAGTCAGTGTTATTATATATGTTAATGTGAGGAGCAGAGAAGTCAAGATTAAACAGAGCATAATCTAAAAACTTGCTTCGGTACAATTCGGAATCATTAGAAATACAGTCCCAAAGCAGTCAATACATTCCCCTTTGTGCCTGTCACCCCTCAACTTGATTCAATCAGAGAAGTCAAAGACATGGAGGAAAGAGTTTCAGATGCCCACATATGCCTAATTGTGAAAGGGTTGTAAACACCACTCCATCCAGCTTTCCCCCTTCCTCATCACCATGCATCCTCTGCTCTTTCCTCACTCTTCCTCCTTCATTTGCACCTCAAATGTTGGTGTTCCCCACTCTAGCTTCTTGTCTCTCTTATCTTCTCATTCCCACATAGTACTGGGATACAGGGATAGGCAGGGAAGTTTAATACTTGGTACTTGGAGGCCGGAAATTTTTCAAGAGTGTCAAGTACACATACCAGCCAAGACAAAGCCAAGGCCTGAATGCCTTGACCAGTATACAAAGATGTAATGAGCAACTCCAGGATTCAGTTTATTACTTAAAATGATAGATAAAACAAGAAAAAAAGCTAGAAGTGCCAGCTCCCAAGTTCTGGTCCGACAGCCAAAAAAGGATGACACCAAAACAAAAGGGAATAGATGGCTGTGGCAGGAGTTCTGAGATTCCCTGTTGCTAAAGGGAACTGATGATGCGGTTTTATGCTTGGCAGCTTTGTTCTGAGGAGACAGGGTGAAAAGCCCACACCTCCTCAGAACTCCAGGAGATGATGAGAACAGTCTCCTGACAGCCTCCCAGAGGACACTGGGAGGGGAGTAAGAGACAGCACCGAGAAACACCTCCTCACAGGCCTCCTGTGGGCTCCCCTTCCTGCAGGACCAGAGGCACTCTGCCAAAATGCAGATAAGCAGAGATCTAAGTCTTTGTCTGCGTGGCCTGTGTGGATATGGGCAAGGCCACCAGGGAGCCACTGCTGAGCTGCTGCGGGGAGTTTTGGAGCATTTAACCATTAGACAAATGCAATCAACTGTAAGGAAAATAAATATTAGCATCTGTTTAGGTTTGATACTCTACCTTCCTAATGCCAAAGCAGCCTGTTATAAAGGTTTATTTAAAGTCCCTGTTCAAGGCAGTAGATTTGTCACATTTTTTTAAGAATAACAAACAACCAATTGGGATCATTGTTTTTCAAGAAATATGACCACGTAGAGGGGTCTCTTTGGGAAACATCTTCATACAAGGCACTGTGCTAAGGGTAGGCTTTATGATTTAGGGATTGTGATGTCTATCACGGAATAAGACAGTGGAGGACCTTCCAAGATCTTGTCACTCTGGGGTTTGGAACAGCTTTGGAAAGTATCTCACAAAACCCTGCATATGTGGGTGTATGCTCTTAGCTTAGGAGAATTATAGTTTTATAAATAAAGAAATCGTTTAAGTTTTGCAAATGTACATGAAATTGGATTTTTAAGCCCTGTGTCCATACTCACATCATGTTTGACCATGTGGACTGAACTGATTGCTTTATTATAGTCTGGCTGAATTGACTGGTCGTTAACTGGTCGATCCAGTCAAAATGTCAAACTAGTAACGAGTGTGGAAAGAGCTTCCTTGTCAAAAAAGCACTGAAAGCTGCAACTGATTGCCTGTGCCCTTCCTCCAATGTGACCCAAACAAAAGGATAGTGGAAACTAAGGGGTAGTACTGAAAAGGAGAAAAATATTGGCCGCCCATCATCTAAGAAGAAATGCTCAATACGAACTTGCATTGCGATGAACTAGACACTTGTATTGCCAAGTTGATTTTTTGGCACTTGAGCTATTTTTAATAACCAGTGGGTGTTGTGTTGGAGCCATCGGCATGCTGTTTAGTTTAGCAGATTGGAGAACTCCTAGAAATGTTTAACTTGGAAGAATGCACAAACATTTTGCAAACAATGGTGTTTTGATGCCCGCACATCTGTGGCTCATTTAAACAGTATCTTAATGTATTAGCGCCCACAGTCTTTCATAGAGCTCTCTCTCCCACAATGTAATGGGATCTTTTGGCTTGCTGTCCCACTTCAGGACTCCCAGCGATCACCGTGGCAGTCATACTCAGTGTGAGAAAAGATATATATGGGACTCTGAGCCCAACAACTCTGTTGTAAGTAGCAGCATTCCTGCTTTGCAGGTGGTGGGGCTCTGGTGGGGCTGGGATTGCTGGGGTGCTCCTAGCCTGGGCTTTGGTCCTCAAATTGGTTTCAGGGAGAACTCAGTCTCGGGTTTTCTCCCTAAAAGTGATCACTGCCACACTCGGGGAATTGGATAAGTGCCTAGGCTCTGTCTGAACTTGGGAAATGTATCTTACTTCTTAATTTTTATTTCTCCTTCTGGAAAATAGGGATCATAATGTTTGCTCTTGATGTCATGAGCAAATAAAAATGACGTCATGTATATAATAAAGTACTTGGACTGTTGCCTTGTTCATGGCAAGTGCTATGTCTGGCAGCCATTGCTGCTACCAATCGCAAAAAAAAAAAAAAAAAAAAACATTAGAAAAGTTGGCTACTATAAGGAAATACTGAGATAAATGGAAAAACATTTTCTACCTTTTAACAATCAAGGTCTTCCTTGAAAAGACTACAAAGCTTTGTTTTATAAACTGGCTCAGTTCCTTCCTCCCTTCCTTCCTTCCTTCTTTCCTCCCTCCCCCCTTCCTTTCTTCCTCCTTTGTTTCCTCCCTCCTTCCCCCTTCCTTCTTTCCCTTCCTTGTCCCCTTTCTTCCTTCCTTCCTCCGTATCTTTTCATTTGAGGTGTAAGCCCATCTCTTTGGTTCTCAAGCGCAGCCACTGGAGTAGCCATTCACTCCGCCCATTTCTTGAGAGCCTTCTTTTACAGCCAGGTATGTGGCTACACTGGTGTTCACTTCGCGCTTACTTACCCATATCCCTTCTCTTTAGCATCGCCTCACAAGATCACATCCACTATGGATTTCCTCTCCCACTGGACTGGAATTGAACGTGGGAGGTCCCAAGGTTCCTCTGTCTTTCATACCAAGATGACAGTTTTCAGGGTGTCAAAATTATATTGCCCTGTGCAGTAGATGCTTTCTAATTAAAATTCCTTGTTATCTTTTCTCTCCCTTTCCTTCTCATCTCCCCTTCTGTCCTCCCTCTTTGTCTTTTGTGACTCAAAAGATCCCCAGTATCTATCTAATAGTGATTCTTCTTCATTGATCAAAAACAAAAGTAAAACCAGAACTAAATCAACTCTGCTCTCCCCTGAAGGAGCCTTTTCACCTGTGAATTTGTTATTAAGAAACAGATGCCTCTAAGGGTTTTGTTTTTAAATAATCATGTTCTGAAATGTAATTCACCAGGTGGTACAAAATGCAAATGTGAAAAAGGGCAAAATAAAAAAATAAGCCCCACTCTAACCCCTAGCTACTCGGTTTCTCTTCCTCGAGGGAAGTCTTATTGGCAATAAATTTGTACAGATAATATCTTATGTACTTGTCTGTTTTAAAATTGTTTTAATTGCATTTAATAAGTGCACATATTTATGGGGTACACTGAGGTATTTTGATATATGGATATATTGTATAATGATCAAATCAGAGTATTTGCCATGTCCCTCATCTTTAACATTTATCACTTCTTTGTGTTGAGAATATTCAAAATCCTTTTTTCTGGCTAATTTGAAATACACATTGTTGACTGTAGTTGCCCTACTGTGCATTAGAACTTCAGAACTTGTGCCCCCCTGTGTGCCTAATTTTGCACCTATTTACTGCCTTCTCCCTATCTCTCCCTCCACATTACTCTCCCCCATCTCTGATAACTACTGTTCTACTCCCTGCTCCTATGAGATCGACTTTTCACTGTCCCATGTTAAAGTATTTTGTAGCTGGGTGTGGCGGTGCACACCTGTAAACACAGATACTCGAAGGAATGAGGCAGGAGGATAGCAAATTCCAGGCCAGCCTGTACAGTTTAGCAACTTAGGGAGAGCCTACCTCAAAATCAAAAACGGTGGGCTGGGCATATATTTCAGTATGAAGGTTTGGAGTTCAATCCCTAGTACCAGAAAGAGGAGGCAGGGAGGGAAGGAGAAAGACAGGAGGGAAAGAGAGAGGAGAGGAGGGGAATGGAGGGGAGGGGACAAAGCAAGCTGAAGGTGATATTCAGAAAGCTGTAAGTATTAACCCCCATGAAGGAAATTGTTTTTTTCATGCCCTCCCAACTAACTCTCTGCCTCTGTGTCTGGCTGTCTCTGTGTCTCTGTCTGTTTCTGTCTTTCACAAGCACACACACACACTCTCTCTCTCTCACTCTCTCTCTCTCTCTCTCTCTCTCTCTCTCTCTCACTCTCTCTCTCTCATACAGACATGAAATTATTCACATCAACATAAACAACATGCCCCAAAAGTATCTCCCTGCTTTTAGAAAAGAGGTCCTAGCTAAGCCGACACACAGCTGAATTAGTTTCTTTGTGTGTGTCGGAAATCAGAAACAATGCCTTCAGTAACTGAAAATGTTATTAAGTGAAGTATCTGTTCATATGAACCCTGTATTTTTTCTTTAATAGAAATTGTAGAGACATTAATCAGTCTGGTGGCTAGTGTTGCCTTTTGTAACCCAAATACCTCACATTTTAAAGCAATACAACTGGAGCTGTCCTCTTTTTGTTGCATTTTCATTACCTCTGATCGTCTCATCATTGTTTGATTCAGAAAAACCATTCATTGCTTTTCTCCCTGCACTGTGATATTTATCAGCCTGCAATGATAAGCTCAAGTGGAAGGTGGGGGATGGTGAGTCAGTTTTTGGGAAAGTCCACAATTTGCTTTTCTGCTGTTCCGGACCAGAATAGTTTTCTAGTGAATAACACTGGTAGATTTCTAACTTGGCACTCGGAAATGCCTTGAAATGAGGTTCAGGAGTTGGGTGTTCTAGTCCCAGCTCTGCCGCTAGTGGGTGTGAATGAGCTCTGTCAAGTTGGTTCATCTCTCTGGATATAGGTGTCTTTCGATTAAATTCAGCTGCGAGTTGCTCCGCAGAGTCTTTGTAAAATAGGAGTTTTGTTTCCCTGCTTCACAATAATCTTTTCTTCTTTATTTCTTTCAGTTGCTGGATTAAGGACGATTCTACCTTTTATGCTTCAGTGGTGGCTTATTTTTGCCTCATATTTTTTGTGAATCTCTCCATGTTCTGCACTGTTCTTGCTCAACTGAATTCCATGAAATCCCAGAGGCAGAAGACTCGGCGCAAGATGATCCTACGTGACCTCAAAGGCACACTAAGCCTGACATTCTTACTGGGCCTCACCTGGGGGTTTGCTTTTTTTGCCTGGGGACCTGTGAGGATCTTTTTCTTGTATCTTTTTGCCATTTGCAATACTTTGCAAGGTAACTGCTGCTTGTTTGACCTTTCTGTAGGTAACTAGACCTCTAGCAAAGCTTTTGGGAAGACTAGAAAGAGAAGAAAATACTCCAGGAGGCCTCTGCTCACAATGATTTGACAAAGAGCCATTGGAAATATTAGCTACATACTATCCCTCTAAATGAATACCCATCTTATTCTCTTCTCCTCAGGGATGCAGGAAGCAACCCTAGTAAACTGACTTAACTCTATCTAGATGGCAGTGGTCTATATCAAGCATGGATTGGCATTACTTCTTACAGTATCTCTTGCACGAACACATTTACTTGCCAATGTACAAATTCACACACATATTAACATAGCAATTACTGCACAGTACAAAACTTTTAATCCCCTAAACTCTATTTGTATCATATATCTTAATATTTGGGAAAAGATCCAGGTTAGGAAATTGTAGAGCAGGAATGGAGGTTAAGAGCAAAGAGTTATGGACCAAAGCAGTAGACCAATCTTGTAGTCTTGGTTTTGCTATGGATCCCCCTTTAGGAAATCCACCACAACTGATTGAATTGGATGATCCCAAGTTAAGGATTCTATGTAGTTTTTTTTTTTTTTATATCTTTCTTGTATTCTGGGAAAAGGACCAAATCATCCATGAAATGATCAAACAGTAGACAAAATATAACATAGGAACTGGTTAACATACCTCTGAGTATTTATTGATACCTGTTTTAATTCTTAATCTATTAAGAAATCTTGAAGGGGGGTCACATATGCAGAATAATTTAACAGGAATCTAAAACTCCATTCCATGCTTTTACCCTCGTTTGGTCCAGTCCTTTCAGGGTAATGGAGCACATGGGGAGTCATCTTGGCATTCCTCTGAGTGTAGGTGTCCTTTTCTGCTCTCAATATTTGTCATTCAATAACCAACCCCCTTTTCCAACGTGCAGCCCACTGGCATTTACATGAGATACTCCAGCAAGAAAAGTTTCTGATGGCCAAAGAAGTGGGGGAAATATGGCCAATTATGCTTCCTGTTTATCAAGAACATATGTTATCATAGTAAACAAAACCTATCAAAACTATTGGGGAAATATTTAAAGCTTTGTTTAGCCTAGCATTTTAAAACACATTGGTACTATTTTATTATTGTGGTTGCTGACTTCCAAAGAACCTTGAGATTTGTGTATTGTGTGTGGTTATTTCATTTCAGGTACTTGCAAAGATGTGCAGGTATGGAGAGAGAATAATCTGGTAGAAGGCATTATTCTGTGATCATGCCTTAAGAAACTACCTTACTTCACAGTAGTAAAGTGAATCAACTGGAATTTTGTGCTCCACCAGATTCTGCCTGTCTTCCAAAGTAGCTCCCCACTCCCTTACCTGGAGTCTCACTTTGCACAGTTTCAGTTACATCTGGTCAACCAGGGTTTGAAAGTGTGAAACGGAAAATTCCAAAAGTAACTATTTACAACCTTTAAACAACTTTATTAGAAAATATTGTCATATTTTTCTATTTTGTTATGAGTTATGTTGTTACTTTTGCTGCATAAAATTTATAAATTAAACTTTGTAATGGTTGCATATGAATGGAAAAAAAGAACATATATATATATAGATATAGATATATAGATATATAGATATATATATAGATATATATAGATAAAGGCGAATACTATACAGGTACACATTAACTGAAATCTGTAAAGACCCAAAATGTGCTGTTCATCCCCCACATGCCATTTTCATCATGTCTTGTAATACAGATGGACTTTTTAGGAACTCTTCACACCACTGACACTGCCAGCACTTAGTTATAATATAGAATGTTGACTGAGGCTCTGGTGATGGTCCTATAATTTCATTCAGGACAAAACCACCTGGCCTACACTGAGGTACTTGAACTCCAATCTCTAGCATGATGCCCTGACCTCGAGAACTAATCAGTCTTAGTGTGGAATTTACACAGAAGTAGTTTAGCAACCAGACACCTGTGCAGACTTCTGTCTCAGTGATAACTTCAGGCTTCTCTTTGGCACACTAATCCGAGGAGAAATATGTTAACTCTATCCAAAGAGGAGTTAAAAGAAAGCTGACAAAAGAGCACGAAAGCAAAGCAGTCTTGATCTTGAAAAGAAGGGGAGATATTTTCAAAACAAGTACTCCACTCATTTGCTGGAAGGGGAAAGCAGCATCTAAGCAGGAATCTGACATGGGTAGAAGCAGAATTTAATTGATTATGTTCTTAAAGACTAAAACCAAAGTTCCGTAGATGCAACATCAACAGAGAAAATCAGTCTCTATCAGAGATGCTGTATGGCAATCAAGAACCAAGCATTCTAGGTCCTGTCTACAAAATGAGATGTGCTGTGTTGTAGCAAGGGTGTTTTCAGAGCCCTAAGTACCAAACTCAAATTACACACACACACACACACACACACACACACACACACGCACGCACACACTTTAAATAACCTCAAAACAAAAATGATACCAGGTGAATAAACTGATTAAAAAACAATCAACACATTTGCAATTCAGCACAAAAAAGGGTGTCCTGTAGTCAAGTGGGACAAAATTTCGCTCCTGATGAGCCATTTGTGAAGAAAGGGTGTACAAATATACATGCAGGTGACAAAAACCTGATATCCTTCCTCATGCCTCTGCTCCAGTGAATAAGCAGATCAATATGATATTGGAAAGAAAAAGAAAGGCTGTCAGGCGGAGAGGGAGAGCTGGCAGGCAGCTCATTGGAATTCACAGACTAACCTTTAAGTCTGAGAAGTAACTAAACTCCGTGCAAGAAATCAGAGCAGTAATAAGTGCTTGGTGTCACTGTTGTCCCCTGTTTGTGCTGAATCTGGGACTTATGCTCCTCAGGTTGCTACATGGCTTTCGGGGTGTCTGCTGCTGAAAAAGTGTAAATGCTGCTGCATTTGCACAGTTGTTTGGTTACAAATGTGGGTGAAGCCTTCTGGAGAATTACTGAGACATGATGTTCTTTTTAGCCACGAGATTGCTGCTTCTCGCCTGAAATCAGTCTCAAGGCTGGGACCAGGGAACCAAAATTTTCCCAGTGCAACTTCCCATTAAGTGACAGAAAGTCACTTGCCTATGCCTGAAACTTGTCTTGGACAGGACATTTACTATTACTATATATATATATATATATATATATATATATATATATATTATTACTATATATATATATATATATATTATATATTATTACTATATATGTTACTATATATGTTACTTACTATATTACTATATACTTACTATTACTATATAAAGCAAGTGTTCAGATTCTAGTCAGCTCTGATTTTTATACAAGCCTTCCTTACCTGATGGTTAAGAACCTGGGCTCTGTAGTCAGCTGATTGTGCTCAGTCTTGATGCTTTCTACTCAGAGTTAGCTCTGTGACCTTTGCTGGGTTTACTAGACTTCTTGGACTCTGAGGCTTCTCATCTGTAAACATGAGATTAATATACAATGCCTATCAGGAGTCATTGCTTAGTCATTGCTAGCTGTGATTTGTTACTACATGGCTGTTCTGTAGCTTCTTCCCATTCCTTCTGATTCTAACCTGACAACCACACAGAAAAGGTATAATTTGTCTTTTTTATGACAACTCTTTCAGATCTGTGACTAATGCTACCAACTCTCCTGTGCATTTCTTATGCCAAATTTTCCCTTACCCAGCTACAATACTCCAGTTTTCTGTTAAGTTCATTACTATCCTTATTTGCTCTGTGCTTGCATACTTCTGTTGGTCATCATTCTTTTAAAACAAACCCACCCAAAATGAACTTGTGAGAGGTATGATTAAACCAGGGAAGAGAGCCAGAGATTCTTACCCAGCTCAATCAAAATTCTTTATTCCCACTAAGGCTGTGGCTGAAATTAGCTTTGAGGGTGTTTACTATTTGGACTTGTGCTCAATTTGGCAATGAGTTAAAACCGTGATGCTATTAATCACTTATTGGTTGTTCTACAGGACAACTTGCCAGTGTAGAGGCTGAACCCTGTCTAGGGAACAAAGGTTGCTAAGCCATATTTGAGCCATGACACACATTATGATGTTGATGCAGGTATATCTAAGGCTGTAGGAGATTGTGAGAGTTTACGCATCAAGTACCCTGGAGTTCAAGTCCATGATGACCTGCTGAACTGCCATACATAGTCCCAGACACAAAGGGAAAATTGGTATAAAGGTGAAAATAAAACATACATTAGTCCTTCAAAGATGACAGCAAGGTAGTGAGAAGGGCAATACATAGAGAATTGTGTGGTTAAATATGGCAAATATGCAAAACAAATTTGTATTTGAGTTCAGAAGTGGGAAAATGAGTTTGAGTTTCAGACATTTGTAAGGCTTTATGGATAAGTCTTTTCACATGGACTATAAATAAAAGTCAGGGTATCAACAGGAGTTATTTCTGCCAATTCTACCCTTAAATTGTGGAAATCCGATTGGCCCTCCGGGGAATCTGCAATCAGAATCATCATGAGTCCTACTTTTTACTCCTAGGAGTATATTTTAGATGACTGGAGTGAAAAATGGCCCATACTGCTGATAGATAGCTTTAGCCCCCACTCTCATCCCCTTATAGGACAAAATGAGGGCTGGCACTGGAAACTGATGGTACCAGACTCATGATTTTCACATAGTGGAATCGTGCCAAAGATGATTGGCATTAGTTATTTATGGCTCTGTAACAAATTACTAGCAAATTTAGCAGCTTAAAACAACACACGCTTCCTATTTCACACAATGTCTGAAGGTCAGGAACCAAGGAGCTGCTTAGCTGAGTGTTTGTGGGTTACAGACTCACATAAAGTTGGAGTCAAGCTGTAGGCTAAGTCCTTGTCATCTGAAGACTTGGCTGGGCTTGGGGCATCTTTCTCCAGGCTTCTCCTGGAAGCCTTAGTTTATCATGTTGGCCTCTCAATAGGGATACTAGGGCGTCCTGAAGGAAAAAAAAAATGCTTGGCTTTCTTCAGAGTGAGTGATGGACATACAGGTGGAGCTTTCAATGTCTTCTATAACTTAGTCTTAGAAGAAACCTGCTGTCACTTCTGTCACATTCTATTAGTACAATGTGAAAGGAGGCACCACAGTGATATGAATGCCCGGATGTAGGATCATTGAAGGCTATCTGAGAGGGTTACCATAGCAGCCCTTATTTCTCATGCTCCAGAATGATCATAAGTGAAAACAGTGGTGGCCATGAAGTTTTGATACAGACTGCCTTTGGGAAGGCTAGACAGACCCTGCAGTTCCTTGGAAGTAGCATTTATGGTGACAACAGAAGGCCTGCATGTGGGCATTGGGTCATAACTGATGAAATAACTGTAAAAGACTGACTTTCTTCTCCTGGTTTAGGATTCCTCATTTTCGTGTTTTATTGTGTGATGAAGGACAGCGTGCGGGAGCAGTGGCGCCTACATCTCCCTTGTGGGTGGTTGTGTCTGGGTAACTTTTCTGGTAAGACACCAGTGTGGGTAAGATTTTGAATTTTACATATTAAACGAAGCTGACCAGATTAACTTCTCTTCTAACCTGATTTCACACAGCATCAGTGTCAATATATGGCTGTTTCTAGATCATGAAAATGATTTGTGCTTTTGTGCTAATATGAATAAAGTCAAATGAAGAATGACCTGGGCCGTATTTTATTTTGGCCCAAATTCCTTAGATAGCTTGTTTACTTTTTAAAATATTATTTTAGTGTATTGGTGCATGTGTGTAGTACATAATGTTTACACTCCTTGTGAGAAGTTGGCAGATATACACAACACATCTTAATTATTACTTTCATCTGCTTTCCCTTCCCTGCATACCCATCTCTTGATTCTTTTTTGGGGTACATTTTTGCAGTACATAATGTTTACCTTCTGTGTGTGCAGTGCATAAAACATCCTAACTCCTTTTTCCACTCCTATTCCTCCCTTCCTTGTTCATTCTTTTCTTCTTTTCTATCTTCCCATTTGAGAAAGATCTATCTCCATACTTCCTATTATCTATCTTTTACTTTGCTCTTTAAGTTTTATTCTGGGTTCCTCATATGAGACAAACCATGTGATATTTAAGCTTATGTGTCTGATTTATTTCACTTAACATTATGATCTCAAGGTGCATCCAATGTCCTATAAATGACTCAAGTTTATCCTTGTGTATGGTAGAGTAGTACTCCATTGTGTGTAAATGCTATGTTTCCTTTATCCATTCATCTGTTGAGGGACATACAAGCTGTTTCCAAGATTTAGCTATTATGAGTTGTGCTGTTATAAACATGAGTATACAAGTAGCACTATAATACAATGACTTTAAATCTTTTGGGAAGATACCTAGAAGGGGACTGTCTGGGTCAAATCAAACTTCTAGTTTTATTTATTTATTTATTTTGAGAAATCTTATACTGATTTCCACAGTGGTTGTGCTAGTTTACATTCCCAATATCAGTGTAGAAAGATTCCTTTTCCCCTGAAGCCTCACCAGCATTTGTTTTATTTGATTTTTCTATGATGACCATTCTTTAGGGAGTCAATATTTTAACTTGAATTTCTCTAATGGTCAATGATGTTGATCATTGCATCACATATGTATTGGTCATTTATTTATACTCCCTGTTCTGTGAAGTGTCTAATCGTTTCACAGAAGAATCACTTTTTGATTGGGTCATTTATTTTGGGAGGTCAAATTTTAGTTCTTTATGTATTCTAGCTATGAGTCTTCTGTCTGAGGTATCTCTGACAACATTTTTAAACCATTCTGTTGTATTTTCATTCTGTTGGTTGATTCTTTTGTTGCACAGAAGCTTTTTAATTTGATACAATCCAATTTGTTGATTCTCAGTACTATTTAGTGTGCAGCTGGGGTTCTGTTGAGAAAATCCTTGGGTACGCCTATGACTTCAAGTATTTTGTCTTCCAGCAGGTTAGATGTTTCTGGCATAACGTTTTTTTTGATCCATTTTGATTTTAGCTTAATGCATGGTGAGAGACATGGTTCTAGATGCAGTCTTCTCTACGTGAATAGCCAATTTCCCTTATGCAACTTATTAAAGAGGTTATTTTTCCTCCAGTGTGTGGTCCCTTTGTCAAAGATCAAATAGTGGAATGTACTTGGGGTTGTTTCTGAATCTCCTGTTCTATTCCATTGATCCTCATGTCTGTTTACGTTCCAGTGCCACCATACTGCCTTTGTCACAGTACGTTTTGTTTTTATCTTTTGAGACAGGTTTCACTATACAGTTCAAGCTGGCCTTAAGCTCATTTTGTAGCTCAGGCTCGCCACGTACTTGCAGCGATCCTTTGTGTCCAAGCCTCCTGAGAACTGGGATTACAGGTGTGGACCACCACACCTGGCTTATCACAGTAGCTTTGTACTATAACTTCAGGTTCAATATGGTGATGTCTCCTCCTTTGTTCCTTTAAACCAGGATTGGTTTGGCTATTCAGGGTTGTTTCTGATTCTATATAATTTTAAGGTTGTTTTCTCTAGTTCTGTGAAAAATGCTATTGGAGTATTGACTGAAATTGCATTAAATCTGTGTAATAGTTTTGGAAATATGGCCATTTGTTAAATATGGCCATTTTTATATGGGTTCTGCCTATCGTGGAATAGGAAATATCTCTCCATTTTCTGATCTCCTCTTTAATTTCCTTTTTTTGGAGTACTATAATTTTCATTGTAGAGGGCATTAATTCCTGAGTATGTAATTTATCTCAATGCTATTTAATTAGGGTATTTAAATTAGAGTATTTCCCCTGATTTCTTTCTCAGTGGGTTCATTTTTAGTGTGTAAGAACGCTACAGATTTTTTGTGTGTTGCTTTTGTATTCTGTGCATCACTGAATCTGGTTATTTCCAAGAGTCTTCAGGTATATTTTTTAGGATTTTCTATGTAGAGGATCATGTCATTTGTAAATAATGGTAATTTGAACTTCTTCCTTTCATATGCATGTCACCTTTATTTTTTTTTTCTTGTCTAATTTCTCTTGCTAATATTTTGAGTTTTGTGTTGACAAAGAGTAGTGATGACATCCTTGCCTTGTTCCTGACTTTGGAGGGAAAGTTTTCCATTTTCCCCATTCAATATGATGTTGACAGCAAGTTTGCCCAAAATAGCTTTAATCAGATTGAGATAAGATCCTTCTATATCCATTTTTCTTCAGTGTTTCTGTTTTGAAAGAATGTCAGATTTTGTCGAAGGGTTTTTCTGTCTCTTGAGATGGTCATGTGGTTTTTGTTCTTGCTTCTGTTTATGTGGTATATTATATTTACTGATTTACGTATGTTCATCCATCCCTACATTCCTGGGATGAAGCGTGCTTGGTCATGGTGTATGACCTTTTTGATGATTCACTGCATTATATTTACCAGTATCTTTTTGAGGATTTTGCATTTAAATTCCTTAAAGAGATTAGTCTGTAGTTCTCTTTTTTGGTTGTATCCTTATCTGATTTGTAAACAGTGTATGATAGCTTCTAGGAATGACTTTGGGAGTATGCCTCTTTTTAGTTGCATTACAAAGCTTGAGGTGTATTGGTATTAGAACTTCCCCGAAAGTTTTACAGAATTCAGCAATGAGCCCATCCAGACCTGAACTTTTCTTAGTTGGGTTATTTATTACTACTTAAATTTGTTATTGGATTATTCAGAGTTTTAAACTCTTCTTGGTTCAGTTTTGGAAATTTGTATGGATCTAGGAACCTATCCATTTGTTCTGAATTCTCCAATTTATTGACACACAGGCTTACAATGTGGTTGGTACTTTTTTAAAATTTCAGCAGATTCTGCTGGGATTTCATCTTTTATGTAACTGCTTGCATTGATATGATGTGAGTCTTTTCTCTCCTTTTTTGGGTAGATTGGCTGTTTGTCTATTGTTTTTTGAAGAGCCAACTGTTAGATCCATTAATTCTTTGTATTTTTTTTGTCTGAATTTCATTGATTTTTCCTCTGCTCTTTAAAATTTCCTTTGTTTTACAAGCTATGCATTTGGATTGTTCTCTTTTCCCGAGGACCTGGAGGTGCGTTGTTAGGTTGTTTATTTGAGCTTCCTCTGTTTTTGTGATGTGGGCATTCAGAGCTATAAATTTCTCCTTTAGTACTTTTTTATGGTGTCCCATAAGTTCTGGTATGTTGCACTGGCAAAATCATTTAGTTCCAGAGACTGTCTGATTTCTTCCTTGAATTTTTTCTGTAACTCATTGTTTAGTTAACAGTGTATCATTTAGTTTTCACGCATTTACATAATTTCTGCATTTTCTTTTGTTATTGATTTGTAATATCATTTCAATGTAATATGATAATATGCATGATAAAAGAAGAAAGATAAATATCAAAAGTAGAGGATAAAAGAAAGATAAAAAGAAAGGGGAAACTATCAGGAGAAAAATATAAAATGCAAAAACAGAATCTAAAAGAACAGATAATAAGTGGGAGAATAACCCCTAGCTCCTAAAAAGCCAATGAAAGAAAGATAAAAATAATACAAAATAGAAAAATAAAAAAAATTCAAAGAAAAAGTCCTGTATTATTGAATGAATGATTTCTTTCCATGATATGCAGTCTTGAGATCCAGTCAGGCACAATTTTCTATGCCTAACTTTGAGGCCTTTGGGTTTTTGAGATGCCTTCCTAGAAATTGAGGTTCCCCTGTTTGTTTCACTCAGATTGTGGTTACCATCCAAGCCAAGGCATCTCCTTGCTTCCATTGGAAGATGGGGACCATGATCATCCTTCTGTTTTCTGGAATGTAGGTCTCAAGGCAGGAGTTTGAGTGGGATGCTGGACTTACTATAGACAATTGTGAGGCCTGGCTACTCCCTTCTCTCCCCAGGTGTCGGTCTCTATCAGATCAAGTTGGTTGGTTAGTCTTTCCCTCTGCTGCTCTTTGCATGTTCCCCTGGGGTCTGGGCACCATTCTTCTGGCACAGGTCTGTTCTCTCATGTGGGGGTAGGGTCAGATAGCTTGTTTTCTATGTCACTTCACTTTTGATTCAATCAAGAGAACATTGACTGAGTCACTATTGTGTTTCAGACTCTGAGTCTCAGGGACTTCTGGTCAGTAACAAGCAGTATGGTGAGTAAATGTGAGAAGCAAGGAGGGTGGAGGACATGGAGAGAACGTAGCAGCGTTCCTAAGTTGTCAGGCTGGTGTGCTGTTTGGAAAGCCCTTCTGATGGCCCTCTACAAAGTGGATGATGTGGCGAACTCTAATGTTTCCTCTTAACGCCGGTGCTTCCCTTGAGAAGGTCTTCAATGCAGGCAAACTGATGTTCTACAAATCAAACAGTTCATCAGTCCAATTCAGGTAGCTTCACTCAGTTTCAATACAAAGCTCAGTTTGTTTCCTTTAGGGAAGGCAGTGTTTCAACTCCAAGAGGCTGTGAGTAGCACCGAGGTTCTCTGCCTTTATGCTGGGCATTTTAGCAACATCTTGGTCTTTATACTATAGTAAAAGCAGACATCCTTGGTAAGGGCATTGGCTGTTTCTAGACCATATGACAGGACAAACATACTTCTCAGGATGACATAGAAGCTGACTCCCAGAATAAGCTTATGCTGCTCATTGGACTTCACATTTTTAACAAAATTATTGAAGTAAAATTTATATATCATAAAGTTGATTCATTTTAAGTGCAGAATTTGATTTTTTTTTTATTTTTAACAATTTTGGTATCATTTCAGATGGGAGCAGCAAACCTGGGGCAAATGTTGGGTATAAAAAAGAGCGAATGAAGAAGACCTTTGAGCACAAATTGTTGACTCCATCCCTCAAGTCAACTGCAACTAGCTCCACTTTCAAATCTTTAGGCTCTGTGAAAGACACTCCTTCAGAAATAAGCTTCTCAAATGGTGAGAAAAGACGCTGTGTTGTCTAAATTTACATTCCAGAGATATTGAATTAATATGAATACCTCCATCTCAAAACCAATTACACGTATGTATACACACATGTGTACATTTACACACATACCTAGGCTCACACTGAGTTATTATGCATTGTCTTCAGCAGCCTTTCCTTATTTTAAAATCTTATAATGTTTTAATTGTGATTTTTTTTTTTTGCTTTATTAGTGTATGTTTGTGACAGTGATGTTGCTTTTGGTGAATTGGTACATTTGTTCAACATATCTTCACTATTTTTGATTCCTTTATCCCTCTCTTTCTTAAAAACCAAAGTCAACTCCAGGCCCCCTTTGGTAGCCTCACTGTAACCATTCCCTTACCTTCTCTGTGACAATCACAGGACTGCCTCATCAACTTGGATTTTTTAAAAATTAAACTCTGAGGGTTGGGGATTTAGCTAAGCGGCATAAGTGCCTGCCTTGCAAGTGCGTGGTCCTGAGTTTGATTCCCGGTACCGATTAAAAAAAAATTAAACTCTGAAAACCATTTCTCTTTTTTAGACCTGAAGCAAGTGCCTACCAACTTTTAGCCTCTTCAAGGCAGCATCATATTTTTAAGGCTATTTGATTAGTGTAAGGAGCTGCCCAGTCTCAATCTTTCTCTATGGGAAAGTTAGTGATACTTTTAAAAAAACTTTTTCCTGACCATACACATCTATCAGATCAACCAGCTAACTTATGGAGATGTTCTGGTGCTTGTATGAAGGCACTGGGGAGCCATGGCACAGAGAAGGCCTGGATTGTGGAAGCTCCTTAATAGGTAGAATTTGGGGATAATTTGGAAGTATCATTTTTGCAAAAGAGTTAATTTATATTGGGTTGCCTACTATTCCTGATATATATCATTTCATTAACAAGAACACAGCCCAAATATGTACATATGTTTCCAAAGAAGCAATAACAAATATATGTCAAAGATTTTAATGCTGTACCAAGCAGTAGATCTGGAGAGCTAAAGGACTGGGGCTAGACTCAAAGCTCTCATGGGTTGTAGCTATAACTCAGACAGTGGAGCAAGTAGATAGCCACAGTTCTTGAAACTAAAATCCGGATGCTACCATAAAATTTGCAGCAGCCAGAAGCTTGGTTCCATTAACACAGAGCGAAAAATAATGCCCTATGTACTACCACACATTCTCAACCCTTAGAAACAACTCAACCGCCAGCATAAGACTAGCAAAGTCACATGGGATATTAGGTGTGTTTGTGCCTCTTCCTGAGAGCCTCCATGAATATCATCCCCTAGGATACTCTTAAGGTCAGTACCACTGCCTGCTAGCCACAATGCAGGAAGAACATACATACTTGTTGCCTAGGCGGTGCTGTCAGGATGAATTAATTCATCCCAGATTTATATTAAGCTATCCAAGGAAAGCAGCACAACTTTCACTTCCTTTCTAATTATTCATTCCATCATTTGACACAAATTTTTTATGTTTCTAGTATGTGCAAAGTTCTTAATGCCCCAGCTGAAAATGTTCTCTTTTTTCCTTTAAGGCAGATGACTGAAGAAGATCCCTACTGTTTGTCTCCCTTGAGTTGCATAGTTATGCTTGATTGTGTAAGAAGAATATTACCTTCAGAAATCAAAATGAATTTTATTCAACAACAAGAATTTGTTTTAAAAAATCAGTCTCAGCAGAGATGTCTGCTTCCTTACCCCGGGATTGGAGAAAATGTTGAATTTCTGAAACGACCTGCTCCAACCTCGTATTTAAAGTATTGTTTTGAAAAGAAAATAATGAAATAATATTTAGTGAATATTAAAGTCAGAATAATCCTCCTATTGACTGCTACAGTTTCTTTGCTTTTAGATAAGATCAGAATTTTATGTTATTCTAGGGAGGAAAGTTTCATATATTACAGATTTTGTTTCAAAAATTCTTAAGTGTACACATCCTAGAAACAAACAAAAACATAAAAAAAAAAAAAAAACAAGACCAGGTGCTTTACTGTCATGTTGGAAGCCAAACAATTATAAGTGACCAAAGTCTCACAATCCCCACTGGCCTGACACCTACAGGAAAAGTAAGTAGAAAGAGCCACAAGGTCATGCCTTTTGGAAAACAATTGCCCTGTTTGCCTGTCATGACAAAGTACCCAAAATTCCCATTATTCAAGTCATATTTTTGATTGAAGCCCTTTATTAAAATGTAAACATGTTTTGTGAAAAGAGTGGCTCATCAATCCCCAGATACACTTGAATGCCTTGGTGGGGACTAATTTCTCAGCTGAGACAGCCCCTCAGGGAACAGCAAGGGAGGTTCCGAGGAATACAGCAGAACAGGAGCTCTTTGAAACTGGTGAAAGGGTTAGGGTTAGGGTAAGCAGGACAGGGGGAGGGGGAGGCTGAGAGTCGCCCAAAGACGAAAGTGAGCAGAAAAGATGAATTTGACCAGCTCTGCCTTCTGTGCCTGAGCACGATAACAGATCTTCTCAATCCCATTGCAAATATTACCACTAAGATTCCTCAACCAAGCTTGTTGCTCACATTTGGCTTTGTGCACAAATGAGTAAAAAAAAAAAAAAGAGGATTCTGGAAAGACACACAGTAACCAATATCAGCAATTGCCTTCAAAAAGGCAAATTGGCTATCTGGCAGTAAAGGACGGAGAGAGATTTACTTTTCGTTCTATGCTTCTTTGTAACTTTTGAATCTTGTACTAAGAGAATGTATTGCCTCTTTGAGCAATAAATAGGTGAAGACAAATAAACTTATTCAGGCCCTTTCAAAGTAAAAGAAAAACAGGCTTCAACACCATAAGTCAAGTTCCTTATTACCCTTGTGAGCGTGTACGGTGGGACTGTGGAGGCAGCAGTGCTGGGTTCATGAGAAGTGTGAGCCTGAGATGTAACAATAACCATACATTTGTAAAATAACTGAAATGAAACTTATGGAAGACGAGATGTGAATGTTTTCTAGCACAGTAAAAGGCAGTAAGTACATCTTAACGTCTTTCTTTCAACTCCCCTCATTTTACCTCCATGACTGCTCCATTAAAGGTGCCACACTGAATCATCTAAGCAAAATTTAATGCACAGACTAGAGCTGGTGCTAGTCCCTGCTATAAAGCTCCTAGGACCCTCCTGCCTTTATTAGCCATTTTCCCATTGTCTGGACAAAATACCCAACCCTCACAACATAGGGAAGGGGAGATTTATTTTGGCTCAGAATTTCAGAACATTCATCCATGGTAAGTTGGCTGCACCCACCAATGATCAGCCTCAAGGCAAAAGACGGAGCAAAAAAGATGAATTTAGCCAGCCCCAAGGCCAGCTATCAAACAATGTGCTAGAAGGCCATGGTGGAGTAAAACTCAAGCCATGGCAACCAGCAAGCAGAGAGAGAAGGATCTGGGGATATGAATACACCCTCCCGGTCAAGCCTCCAGTGATCCACCCCTCCATCCAGGCCTTTCCACCTGAGAATTCATAAATTCATCAACGGACCAGTGCACTGATCAGTACAGCATCCTCATGATCCAATCATCTTCAATGCCTACCTTGGGATACATGAGACTTTTGGGAAACATAACATTTTACCCCTGACCCCTAAAAGGTCCATCTGATTATGGAAAATGAATTTAGTTCATCTCAAAGTCTTGCAAAGTCCTAACAGTTGCAGCATTGATGAAAAGTCCAAGTCCAAAATCTCCTCTGAGACTCAAGGCAAACTCTTAGCAGTGAGGCTGTACATTTAATATTCCCAAGATACAGTGGCACAGGGTAAACATTTCTATTCCAAAAGGGTGGAATAGAAAAGAATCAGACAAAGTAAAACTAAACCCAGTGGTGCAAATTTTAAATCCTGTAGCTTCATGTCCATACCTGGGGCAAGTTGTGAGTTGTGAATTCCAGAAGGCTTAGAGTTTGCCCTTGTGGCCTTGCTGGTTTCAACTCATACTGCCTCTGTCTTGGGTTGACTCTAGTTACGGCTTGCGGCTACCTACAGCAGAGACTCAACTTCAGCTTCCTAGGGTCTCCATTGCAGCTTTGGTTGCACACTTACAGTTTCCTGTATTGCCCTCTTGGGCTCCTGAAGGAGCTGTTATATTGTCATACAACATCGCCAGACCTCCCAGGTCTTTTTCTCAAATCTTTGTGGAAGCCTCCGTGACGTTATAACTCTTGCATTCTGCATATTTCTAGAGTCAGAACGATGCGGATGATGCCAGGGTGTGTCACTTTTGAGATTTGTTATATCTAAACCATAATAAGCTATCATATTTAATATTTTCCTACAAAATCATATCCTATGGAAATCCCATATCCATTGTAACCCACATGTTTTCACGTGTACTTCTTTGTAAGATAAGGTGAGTGAATATGTGTGTGTGTGTGTGTGTGTGTGTGTGTGTCTGTGTGTTAAGGGACTTACACAAATGATAGACAAATTATTTTGAATATTGCATGTCTAAGAAATGGCACCATTAAGTCATCATCACTCAGAATAGATTTAAGAATAGTACTTGCTTGTAATTAGCAAAGCTACAAATATGCCTTTTGCAAATGGTTTGGTTTGGAGGGATCATTTTGGCTGTTACACTGCTCGTGACTTCAGTTTTAAAAATTAACAGGACCCTGATTGTTCTACTGCTGCTGGACTGACGAATGTACAGCCTGTCTCTAATGACCTGACATGCTGTCATGAACAAAAACATTATTTTATAGAAAAGTCCATGATTCCTGTCATAACTCCTCCTGTTAATTAGTAAAACATGGGGTTTTTGCAAATTAGATGACAGGTTAAAATTGCAGGGAGAGCAGAGATTTAATACTTTTAGGATATACTTTGATTTGTTCTTCCTGGTTTTACAAAATGGTTGACACTTTTGTAAGGACAAACCCAAGTAATTATGGGAAAAAACCCTAATGTCTTTGGATTGCTTTCAATCAGTAGTCAACACCCAGGTATTCATTAAGCCTTCAGATGAAAGGAGAGATATAGACTACAGACATATCACATTTAGCCTACTACCTCCAGCAGATAAACTGTTTACCAGAGGAGACCAGGCACACACACTGAAAGAGTGAATGATTAAAGCAAAAATGTGGCAGAAGGTAAGGGCTTTCTGGGCCAGAAATGAAGCAGGACTTAAGCTGGGAGTGTGGTATTCCAAGTGGGACCGGTAAAAATGAGAGAGGCAGCTTAGCTAAGGCAGGACACCACTTCTTAACATCACAGGTACATCCTTTTTATTAAGCATTGCTCAACAAATTTACAAAACCTGCTGGAGTTTCAGGGCACAATCTCCGGCTTTTCATTTTTGATGTTCCAATGGACAAGTACTAAACTGTGTCTGAGGCAGTTCAAAGGCTCCTACCCAGAACCTTAATATTTACTGTTCCATCAGAAATACCAAAGGTGACAGTGATCATGTGTGATGCCCACTTCCCCTGCACCCAGGGGTATGGAAGTTTAGAGTGGCTGAGAAGATCAGAGGAAGTATGGCTTGTGTCTTCGTAGGCCCGTGGTTGATTGGTGTGCCCCTGTTCTTAGTCTTCAAGCATTCAAGGGACACAAGGAGTTTGAAGCAATGAAGGAAAGACCTTTTCGTACCTTGGTTGATTAAGCAACACAAGTGAAAATGGATGAAATTCAGACTTATAACACCTGGCCCTTCAGAAACACTCCATATTTGTCACATGCTTACCAGGATATGCATGAGCAAATGAACAATCTAAAATTATGAGTTGAGACAGTAGAACAAAGTTTTAAAAGGCTAGAAGTTTCCTAATAGAAAAACTTCTCATAAGGGTACCCCCTCCCGGGAAGAATGAATACCAGTGTTATCTCTTTCTGAAAAAGCAGTCTTTCTCCAAGTGGGAAGGCTGTTGGAGTTTTTTTTTTTTTCTTCAGATTCTGGGGTTTGGGGTCAGTGACAGTTTATGAGGTAGGAATACATGACATGTAATACTCTCTTTGCTGCCGTGTTTCAATGAGGGGGCACAAGGTTAAAACATTAATTATTTTCATTTAATTACCACCAGATTCTGTCAATGGATAGATTATACTTCCCTCTCAGCTGGAATCATGTGGATGCTTTCACTTTTCAGTGGCTTCTTAGGCATTTTCACAAAAAAAGCAGATGTTCTACTGGGAAACTGCTTGCCAAAGGCTATTCTTAAGCAAAAGTTGTAAACTAAAAAAAAAAAAAAAAGAAGCAATTTCTGCTGATGTCAACAAGTCAGTGGGCAACTTAAGTAGCAAGCAAAATATTGATATAGATAAAAGCAATCTGTAATTAAATAAGACAGTTTGATCAACTTTAGAATTAAACAATTAACCTATGTCTATAATATGTAGATAACATAAAGTTTCAGTTAGTGTGACTCAATGTCCAATAAATAATTTTAGGGTATGCATTAATGCAGCTTTTTTATTTGATAGGTTTTGACCATCTGATAGGCAACTGACAAAAATGGTTTAAGTATTTCCTTAGCTTGATGAATTTCTAGACAGATTTCTTCTGATAGTAGGCTGACCTCCTTTTTGTTAGAGCATTTGGTGTAGAACATTTGGGATTATTAATTCTGTCTCTGCTTTTTAAAGATATAAATCCTTTTCTAGTCTCTAACCAGTGTTACAACTGAGAAATGTCTTTCTGAAGAATTTAGGAGACATCACTTTGAAATGTAATATCAAAAAACACATACAGCTACTTTTCAGTCATGTAAAAGCATGAGTCTATCCTCAATAACAAATTAGCAAACTCTGATGGGCAAAAACATTGATGACCTGTCCCCTAACTCCCTCCAATGAGTTTCGTCTAACTCATCTGGGGCTTAAAAACTCCCCCGCCATTTACCATATCTCAACAGACCTGAGTTCAAGTTCTCTCCCACATCTCATCTTTGGACTCCTCATCTTTGGACTCCTATTAGAAT